TCCTGACCTGACAACATCCTGCTCCGGAGCCATATGCCTCCTCTGGGTCTTTCAAGGAAAACACCACGGCACAACCAACAAACAAACGCGCGCTTGCAGCCCTGGCGCTTGATGCTGAGCTTCCCTCAGCTATTACAGCAGCACTGTGGTCCCAGGTTTTCACATTATTAAAAATGAAGGTGACTTTATACAGGATTTTTTCTACTAAGGAGCTTCTGCCTGGCTAACACTCAGAAATATCAGTCCCAGTTACTGCTAAAGCCCCCTTGAACCCTGAGCGATGCACCAGGGGCTGCTCAAGGGCCCAAACCCAGGTCCCCAGCTCACACTGCTCTCTGTTCCCGCTAATCTCTACACACAAGTCCCTTCTCAAAAACTTAAGCATGAATTCACCTGTTCAGAAACTCCCTTGCTTATGGAAAATAGTGATACAATGCACCTTGTATCCACACTGTTGAACTAATCTCTATTTATTGTCTTCTGACTAGTTAACATTCCCTTTAATTTAATGGATAAGTAGAAATGGTTTGCAGTGTTATCAGTAACTAAGTTTCAAAATAAATTACATTCCATGTTTTACAGACACAAAATATTTTGAAATGTTTACTTTCTAGCTTGTTTTCCAAGAGAATACAATTTTTAAATGGAGTCAAATATCTTCAGCTACTCTGAAGTCACCCACATGTTAAGAAACAGAATAATTGTTAAGAAACTTAATAATATTCTTCTTGAAAGAAAGCTATTTTAAAAACACTTCATATAGGAAAGTGGGAATTTGGCATGGCAAAGGCCTAATCCCAGCAGATTTAAACAGTGAGATGAATAAGGATAGCAGCGCTTGGAAATCATAGTATGTATAAAAATTTGTGGTCTTGTCATTAGAGACTTGTCTCAAAGCTCAGAGGAATTAGTTGTGGGAATCTTTATACAGCCTTCTCTAAGCTTCAAAATCTTCAAAGCATTTTGGAGACAAGCCCCCAATATGAAGGCGCTTCCTAAGAAAAAGCATAAATCCTTTTTCATTTTAGAGCAAACATTTGAGAAGTCACTCTCCTATACACAGACTGAAGAAATTATTTCCTCCTGGTCTTTGAAAGAAGTCTAAAACCTCCAATTGCATCTCACACAACAAATGACCTATCCAAAGTTGCATTTTTCCTGTGCTCACAGTGTATTCCCATTAATACCCTTCAATATGAAGCTCCATATCAATGTTTAAAACAGTAATGGACATACATAATTTTATATTATACATTATATTCCTCAGAGCCCCTGAATAAGTTTACCTAATGAGATGATAAAAATAAAGACAAAATTTACTGGAATGGGTACTGTTCTGTAATACATTACACAGTAATTAACTCAAGCATTTGATACAGCACCACTTACATGATGAGTGCTTTAGAGCTCTTGAGCTCTCGTGTGCCACTGCAGAATGAAAGTAGCACCAAGCCCTTTTGACTCTCAAATCACAAACAAAAAAGAAAATTCAGTTTGAAAGAACAAGGCATGCAGAAGTAAGAATAGGATGTTCTGAGGCTTTTGGTTTTAAGGCACCAAATACCATGATATGGCATGCCTTGCTGCATTTCTACATTCATAAAACATGCTTTAGATAGATAAGAGTTTGGGGGTTTTTAAAGTTCTTTTCTTCCACAATTTTTACCAGTGTTATTCCATATATATTACTACATCTAGAATATATTTACAGTGGAAATTGCCACCTCTCAGCTATTTCAAAATAAGTAGAATCTTTCAAATAGCTTTACTGACTTCTTCTTTTCCTTTATAGTGTTGTAAACACATCTCTATAGTATTTAAATACTAGTTTAATTAAACAAGATACCAGTGGTTAAGGAAGATTATTCCTCTTGTCTACCTACCACTCTTAAAGTGTAAGTTTGCTATTTATTCACTTGCTGCTATCCTCTGTGTGGCACTGTGCATTTCAGAAAACTTTTAATCAAATGGTTTAATTTTATGTTCTATTCTGAACAGTGTTCAGAACGGGAATCTGATTTTTCAATTATAACATCTGCAAAGTCATGTTTTAGTAAGTATCACAGGAGGATCATCTGAGAAGACAGTCTTGTGAACCAAGTTAAATATTACTTAATGAAGAAGTAGGATCTGTACTGAATTATGTATTAGCCCTGCATGTGAAATAAGGAGTACTCTTCAGCCCTGAGTCTCTTGCTCAGTGCTCCATCACTCGTATCAATGATAGAACACACAAATGCCTAATTCTGCTTTGAGGAAGGGAGAAGAAAAACAACACAGCCAAATTACTGAGTTGACCTAGGCTGTCTCTGCAGAAATTTAGTCATAGGTTAAAACATTGCCAAGTACTAGAATGTTATAGGCATAATCAATTTTTCATGGAAGCAGAGACAGTTCAGGCAGTCTAAGCAATGTTCAACATCAGACCAAGAAATGAGGAGGAAGGAGATTTTTAAAATTCTCCAAAAAACCTTTATCAACACTGTTCTTATGGCCTGACTGGAATGGAAATCTGAGTAAGCTACTAATGGCTCTCCCAGATGTGGAACTATTCATGTCCACACTGGCAATTACTGCACCCTAGGGATTCCTCCTAGGCATTGTCTTGGGAGTCTCAAAGTACACATGTGAGCACAGCAACGTTGTCCCTCAAATCATTGCCCTTTTGATGGAGCTAAGGATGAAGATGCTCACCACTGTGCCATCCATCACATGTGCAGGGTTTGCCATCTAGACTCAAACTGCCCTCCAGCAGTTTGCACTTTGTGTACGTATTGAGCACACTCAGGGCCAGCACCTGGCATGAACTTCCCTGCTGGGAAGAACTGATGTTGATGTGCTCTGGCAACCAGAATGAACAGCTACAAATCAAACTCTGCTCTGTCTGTCTTTGCAACCCCACGTAGCCATACCCAGCAGGCCCTCCTCCACTGGGCACCAACTTGAACCACTTCACAGAGCATTCAAGTGTTCTTTCTGGTTTTGCTAAATTTCTGAAGGAGCAAGTCTTGGTCTGTTTTCAGCAGAGGAATGTGGTCAGCGGTTTTACAAACACAAAGATCATGGGGCTCTTATGGAACACGGCACACTTCCATTGCAGAGCTCGTGTGCCATGGACTTGAAATAGATAAAGGCAAGGATTGAAGTAGAAGGATCCTGCCTGACAGATCCCTAAGTATGTAGCTGTGCTCTATGAGCAAGAAACATTAGTCAGTGAGAAGGCTGGTGTGGGTGTGAGGCTGTGCTAGTTAAGCACAGGATTAGTTCCACTCCCAAGTTTTGGAGGGAGCAGTTTTGAGGTCACTTATTCCAAGTGACTAGGCTGGATTCTACCTTGCTTCACAGCAGGTATGCAGAAGCAATATTAATTAAATTTTGCAATAATGAAATAAAAATAATTAATATCAGTCACAGTAAAATAAACATCTTGTTTTAAAAAGTAGTTCTAATAATTGTTACTTCCTACAAAACTGCTCTTGATTTCATATTTAAAAAATATAAATATAGCTTGGAAAACAACATGAAAGTGCTAAAATAGGAAACACCCATAAATATGCCATGTTTTCCCTGCTGAATATCCCCAAAACAGAAAAAAAGCAGAATAAATTTTGGAGCAAATTATCTCAGATTTATCTAAGAAAGCTATTTTTGAGCACTAGCAGAATGAAAAATTGAAGTTAACTGCAGAAAAAGTAAAGTGTTATAGGAGACACTCATCATTATAAAACTAAGAATATGCACATATGGTTACCGAGTCAGTCATCTCTTAGCTTTCAGTTAAAAGAAAAGATTTTAGCTCATTTCTGAAAAGTGAAAAGTTGAATCCCCGTGAGCCACACAATAAATAATCTAATTATAACTGAGCTATCAAATGTTTTATTTTAAAGCCTAAATCATGAGTTTCTGAGGCCCCGCTCAAGGGTTTGAGCCCCTAGTTTTATACTAATAGTACTATAGCCTGTTTCACTTGGATATCTCCATATCTACAGATTTTGGGTTGCAAATAGTACAAGGAAATACATATTTCAAAGCAGCTGTTTTGTTTTAGCTCTTACTATGTCAGGGAAACACTTTTATTACTTTCAGCTTTTTATAAATTACTAATTAGTGGCTTTCACTCAAGATTAATGTATCCTGTTATTATGACATAAAATATGTGAAACCATAACAGAGATTTTGAATAGCATACATTGAATACAATGGGGTATTTGTTACCACAACTAAAGGGGGGGGGGGGGAATAGCTATCAATACTTACTTACAAAGAAAAGAATTGTGATATGCATACCACAAGGAAAACAAATGTATCACAGCTACACCTCCTTATTTTAAGCCAGCTACTAGAAAACAGCTCTTAGCAACCATCTTTAAGACAGTGAACTCACATTAAAGAGATCAATGTAGACTAGGCACTTGCTGAAAAGGTCTCGAGGACAAATTCCACCTTTTGAAGGATTATGGATAAAATGGGAAACATTTATGAATTTTTGTGTGGCCAAAATTTCCCTGCCCTGGCCCATAAGCAAATATTTTTATCTGAGGCTGTGCTTTCATTGCAAATGATGTAAATCAGGCACTGGGGTTCTAATGGCTAAAATTTACCATCTCCATATTGCTGATTTCAAATAATTTCTCCATGTACACGTATGCATAATATATACTTATAGAACTACAAGGACTCCCTACTGTAAAAAAAAACCTTAGAAAGCCTTCGAAGCAAACAGAGAAACAAGCTTCTTATAGGAAATTATAAGAATATACCTGCATTATCCTGTTACTTCAAATGTTTTCACACTGTTCACCTCAAGATGCACCACGTACATTTAAGTTTTCCATAAGGAAACAGATTTAGGATTTTACTGTGCTACGTAAAAAGCGCTTCTCCAGTAATTTCTTCTCTTTGGAACTATGCACTTCACTTCTTAGGGATTAATGAAACACAGTGATGCATGACATGAATGGCTTATACAGACTGCTGGAAGAGAAGCCAGTCACCTTTACCTGAAGTGGGAGACTTGCAACGCTCAAGCTCCAGGGAAACTGGACTGTCACTGAGTTCAGTCAGGCCTGAAAAAATGGAGTTAAAGAGTTAAGTTACAATCTAACAGGGCATGCTTCAACTTTCTTGGATATTCTGCACTTTAAAGTCAATTTGGAGAAAGGAATGGTGTGAAATGAGAGGGAAATAATCGATTTTAGATAAGTGCAGTCATCAGGCTGTCACTGCAGCAATTTAGGCTTGGTTAAAAAAAAAAAATCACACCTCTTGTTAACTCAGATTTGTTTTCTGAGTGCCTCGGGATAGAAAAGAGTGACTGTACCTAACAAAAGAAAACAAGTAACTATAGTTTAAAATTTAAAAGTCTGTGATATGACTCAAACTCATTCATCCCTGTCAACCTGATATGGAATGAACTCTGCTGCATAATGCAGGGAAGAAATCTTAAAAGAGGGGAAGAAAAAAAAATACGATTACTGCTACTGTGCAATATTAGAATTTTCATGAATTCACACAAGATAGGTCATTTTAAAGGACACAGAAGCACTGATAATGCTGGCTGAGTGCAACACTGAATTTTTTGACAAAATACTTTATATGTGGTTTATATATATTTGTCAGGAATTTCACCTACATCGAAGACGGCACCATGGAAAGCAATCCTAGTCTGTAATGCACAAACTCGAGCTCGTTTCTGTGAGCAAACTAAGATCCATCTTGCCATAGGTTGAATGTTCAAGTTCAAATATGCCTTTGACATAGTAGGGAGGGACAGTCTGAGCTCACTCTCTCTTTTACCATGGGCTAACTGGGCATGGCCATACCTATTCAAATGCACCCTTTCTATATATCTGTAATGCCCTGTGGCTCACCCTTGTTCTAGGAGCTCTGGCACTCCATACCACTGGCTACCTGCAACCAACAGGCAGCCCTGCCCAGACATTCACATGCCAGCTAGGTGGACCCACAGCACTGAGGTCAGAGCCCACAGTCTGGTACATTACTGTCATACTGATATTGGATTTACACACATTCTGCTTGTGCTGCACCCTGTGAATCAAGAACCTTTCAGTATGCTTTAAATGGGCACCATGGCTCCTGTAAGAGAAAATGTAATAATTTTTATTGCTTCTGCACCCTCAGGCCCAGAGACCCTCACCACTAAACTTCATATATGCTCTTATTTTGGAAAATTCTGCTGCTTAGTCACCAGTCCTGTTTTCTTAGTATTAAAACCAGTGGAATCTTAAAGTAGGTACTGACAACTTTATTACAATGTATTTTTGAACTGCTATAAAAACTGGAGAGGATCCAGAGCCCCAGCCAGCAGAACAAAAAAAAACTCCTACCACTAATGAAGATGCAGGAGTACAAGAATAATGCTGAGAGCCCTTTGGAAAACCAGCAGTACTGATTTAATCTGATAAGTCAGTATTAACAACATACTTGTTCCTGACTTAAGAAACAAGATCTGCCAAGCTAGACACTATTGTTGAAAACCAAAGATTTTTTCTTTTGAAAAATGTACTTGAATTTTTCTTTCATTTCACTTAGAATCTGTGAGAAAAACTTATATTTCAATCAATTGCAAGTTCAGTCACTTTTGATGTTCTGAGAATATTCAGGAACTGTAATAATTTGGGAAGCCTCTCTAGTACGGCAGATCTTATTTCCACTTGAACCCAAGATTTCTGTATATACCTAGAGATTTGGGACAGAATTGATTTTTGCTGCAGAACTGTCTGCAAGGTGCAGTGGGAGCCATTTTGCATAGCATCAGAGGCCTTGGATAAATAAAACTTATACTGTTTATTTTGTAAATGCATTATTGGAGATAAGTAAGTTTTAACACCTTGTCTAAGATGTTCTAAGCATTGTATATTTAGCACTGATATTGGATACAATATCAAATCCCTGGTCAGACTTTGCTTCTAAATAGTTTGGGGTTTACTATGGAATTCATAAAAACAGTATTCCATCTCAATATAAATTATGATGCTATGGACTTTAACAGTAGAATCACCAAACTGCACCACCCAAGAGCAACCACAGTAAGAAAACCATGACTTCTTCATGTTTTGCACAATTTGCAACATAAAACATTAAAGATACATTTCAGGTTATGCTATTTAAGAATGTTGAACACGTGAACTTCTCTACAAACCTTGACTTGCTGTCAAGCCACTGCCACCCCTAGCAGTGACCACCTACAGATGACTTTAAATAAGAAGTGCAACAGATCCCCATGTGAAATATAAGTGGTACCATGCGCCCTGCACGACAGCATTGCCTTAATCTCACTTAGATTTGCTTAAGCAATTCCACTTGCAGATTTTCTCCTGCCATAAGTCTTTATTGCTTTGAAATATTATAAGGAGTTCTGTTCATTATACTCCCATTTATCCAAAGTCTCTTTTAATCTTGCTAAATTCTGAAGCTATTGTAAGGCAATTAATTGCTCAATCATCATTCACAGAAAAGGATAAACACATCTTCGTCAATTTTTATGCGTTACCTATAATTCCACTAAATGTTTCCCTTTGAGATAAGAAAGTGCACTCTCAAGCTTTTCCTTGTACTACTGCTCATTTTTTACTCTCATTTCCTTTTTAAGGAAACAAAACTAAATCTTTTCAATAATTAACCATCTATAAATAGATCCATGAACCTCAGCTTCCCTCAAATGTCTGAGACTACAACAGCTACTGAAGTTAGATTAAAAAATATTTTCACTTTCCATTTGGAATTGTACAGGCAGTTTGTGCCCCAAGATATTTTAGCTATATTTAGCCCCTGCAAACCACCACCCCAGCAAATATTAAGCAAGATGAATATAGCAGTAAAAATAAAGGCAAAGACCTGAGACTGGCAATATGAACAACCACCTGAGAGAAGATATACTCATGGACATTATAAAGAAATAGGCTTTCGTTCGAGCAAATCATAAACATGTGTAAATAGGGCAAGACGTAAATATATCACATAAGGCATTAAAACATTTTTAAAGACATGTCCCATGGATACTTTTCTAAGTTTAGTGTGATTTTCATTTCCTTTTTATTCAAGGATCAAAATCCATACTAGTATGAGGTAACAACTTTAATGAGCCCATAATTTAAAATTATGCTTGAAATTTTAAATTTCTATATGTATGTTTGAGATTCAGACTGATCATTTACTCTAAAGCACCCAAAGCCATCACATCTTTGCTTATAAATAAATTTATTATAAATAAATTACCATAAACAGTCACAAGCCAAGAAATTAAGTAAGCTCAGTGTTACCTCAATCCCTCAGCTTCACACTGAATTATCATACCATGTTTTCTTTATGTTTATATAACTATAAATATATCTACGCGTGCATTCATTGGAAATTAATTCATTCAGAATATAGCTATTGACTTAAACTCAACCTATACTAGCTTAGGTGTGAATTAAAGTGACAATTACTGATATACAATGACTCACAGCACACAGTTTTCTGTATCCTACTGTCAGACCAACAATACTTCTGCTCACCCCTCTCAAGGGACTGGCCTGAGGGAGGAACAAGAACTTCTCACTGAAAAGTCTTCATTATGAAAATTATTTTGCAATGTATCAACATCCTTTGGATTTGACAGCATTTTGGATGCTTCATAAAGACTATTTTCCTCTTCTACCAACAGATGGTATGAATTTCTAGTAGGAGATGCAAATTCCTTTTGCATCATTGTGGTATTTTTATATTCTGCTGCAGACATTATGCCTCTAGATGCAATACATGTACTTCTTTTAATATTTGAACGCATGTTATCCAAAATCAGGTAATAACATGTACAACTTGATTTCAATTGAAGAAGAAAACCAACCAAACAACAACCAAGCATCCTCATAATTCTGCAGTACAGCACTGAGAGTTTATTTTATTTAGCCTGTCATATCATCTTGCTACAAAGGGAGGTGGCTGTAGATGTTACAGCAAATGGAACCAGTCATTAACACCTGGAAGTTATCCCCAGCTCTGCACTTATGCTCATCTTAGCTTCTTATTTTCCTCAAATTTCTTCCCTGATTGGACGATTATGTTCCAGTCTCTTCCACTGTGTATGCCTAGAACTGGTTACATTTCTTCCCTCCTTGCTTCCCTTTCCCACTTTCACCTCCCAAACCATAGAATGTGCTGCCTTAATGCTCTAAGTCCACTCTGGGTACATTTGAGTCTACTTTACATATGCAACCAGTATCAAGATATCTATAGATTTATTGGCTAAAATTCAGAACTTTTATTCCACCACTGTGCTTTGCATATTGGATGACCTTGACATTGTTGATTGTGTCTTTCCTCTAGAAGGCCTCTTCTCCAGCATATTGCTTCTTCCCTCTTACATGTTCATTCTTTTTTTCCCTTTCCCTGTTCAGTTGCAGGACAACTCAGACTGAAATATCAACACTTTCTTTCTGTGACCCATTATTTGAAGAGATTCTTTGGTATAAACATGGCAATAATTTTATATATGTACATCTCACTAGTGATTCATAAATACACATCTTTAACTTGGATTTCTTCTATCCAAGTTAGAGTAGTAATCCTGTCTTTCTAAAATCTATTCAGGATTGTCCAAATAGGAACTTAACATCGCCAAATGAACTCAACTTTTTTTCTGTGCTGAAGTTTCCTGTTTACTACATGAACAGACCTATGAGCATCACTGTCTTCTCTGATACTCTAATCCATAATATTGGTTACATCTCTGTGTCACACTTTAACTCTCATAATTAGGCTGGACACTAAATTACATTGTCTCTTCCTGCAAATCACCTCTAAAATGACCGACAAAAATCTAAGTATCTTGCTCATTGATAATATCTTCTTTGACTTCAATGCCTACAAGTCTTATTTTCTCATACTGATCCACATGAAATTATCTTCCTGCTTCATTACTTAATTGAATCAACTTCTTTTCTATCTTCCCATTAACTTCCATTTCATTGGAAATAACCTTAAAAGTTTAGACCTAATGCTTCTGTTATCACATGACTTCTCCTGCTTTTATCATAATAATATTGGCTTTGACTGCACAATTTCCAAAAAATAATTTACTTTTCCCATCATCATCCCTTATCAGAGAAGATAAACCTGTAAGCAAAATCCAAAATCCTCTCTTAATACCCCTCTTAAAATTAATCTCTCAGATAAGAGGCATAACAAAGCATGACTGGAGAATGACTTTGCAAGATATTTCAGTCTGTGACAGATTCTAGTCCTGTTCTTGATCTTGCTGCATGGTGCATCTTTCAGATCATACAACATATACTCCTGTGTAAGTATCAAATGACAAAAGCAAGAACCAAACCATTTTTGAGGAAAGAAATGAAGCTGTTAATCATCTTGCCTAAAATTCAGACTACTACTTCATAGGAAGATTTTGCAGACTTTTCTGACTATGGGGATGGAGACAGAAACAAGACAATACATTTTCAGCTATGAAACACTCTATGGTCTATGTCTGTAATTCTGAATGAAAATATTGGTAATTTTTACCCTTAGAATTTATTAATTTTTTAGAGGGGGAAAAAAAGCCCCAAACATTTGACTTCTGTCTGTCACTCAGGTTCTCTGTTACAGACTTGAAATTAGCAAGATCAGACATTAATAGACTTTTAATAAACTTTAAGATATCATACATCAAACATTTTTACAGACTGCTGAATTTGTAACTGGACTAGTCTTTCAACTAAACAGACTACCTTTTATGAACTATTATGAAATAAAGTCATAGAAATCAGCCTAGAGGAATGGAACAGAATGTGTCGTGCAAATGTACAAATGTATTTCAATAGCTACATAACTTTATATTTATGAGAGATGTTAAAACAACTGCCACTCTTTTATCCTGCCTATACTGAATATCTAATATAAAATTGCCTATCCCATTGTTCTGTGAAAAGTACTTTAAAAAGAGGCATCCTAGAGACCTAATTACATATAAGCACTGCAGTTAATTAAGATATGTATGGCTCATCTATTGAACAGTCATTTTTTCAAAATTAATTATAGCTTTGCTCACTGCATTCTGCAGTGATGAATACTAATATTTAAATTTCATATCACTATAACTCAAAATTTACAGATATTAAAACCATGAATTTTCATAGCCCTCTTTGATGTATGTATTTTTATGCCCACTTTACATTCCCCTTCAAAGAACAGAGGCACAGGATGGTTCCCCAAAGCCAAATATTTAAGTACCAAACCGAGATTAAAATTTTAAATTTCACAGCATCCAATTCAATGGGTACTCTTTTAAGCCACATTGTTCTTCTGAAAAAATGGAAGAATTAATTGGTAACTACAGATAGTGCCATTGCAAAACAAGAAATGCTTCATATTAGTAAATGTATGTGGAAACAATATAAAACCAAAGAAAGATACTGTCACCAAGAACATAACACTGTTGAAAAATAATTTCTAAGGCCCAATCTGTCCCATATAACACTGAGGTTTTCTTTTTTACTTTCTTTTTAAAGAAAATAATTGCTGTATAATACAGGTAATTGTCAAAAGTAAGCATGGTTGACATCACAAAATGTAGTAAGTTTGCATGCATGCTGAATGTGTTTAAAAAAACACATTACAAAGCACAAACACATGAGTTCAAGTCAGGCATAGTCCAATCATGATAAAGCTTTTTGCCTAACCTTTATAGAACTTACTCTGATAGGAAGTACGGATCCGTTTCGTTAAATCTGGATAAAAGTTAGACAGGCCACGCATGCAAAAGTTGTCTTTGGAACATGCCAGTACACCAGCATCAGCAGCAGGCAGAGGAAAGAGAGAAAAAACAGTCTAAAGTGAAAGGAAGTGATATCATAACCAGCATCTAGAACAGCCAAGGTGAAGAAATTTCAGCAGATGCTTACCTTCCAATTGGGAGATATAATAAGAAAAATAATCAAAAAAGTAAAGGATGTGGGATGGATGGTGAGAAAGCAGCTGAGGCTTTTTTTAGATGCATAGTTTCTATGAGCAATCTAGAAGTTGCAATCCTCAGCGGTCATTTACCCGCAGTGGGCTCCATTCTGGCAGCACTGGATAGCTGGAGCGATGCCTTAAAGGATTGGCCCAGACTGCCACTGACAGAGAAAAACCCTCTGTGACACAGTGCTTATAACAGCTTTTTCTACATAAGCAATCCTCCACCTTTTGTACAGAGTTCTGCAGCATGTTTGTGGCTAGCTGCTCACATTTCTTAGGGAGCTGCTGTGAGGCTGGCTGAAACTGGACAGAGAAGCTGAAGGTAACTTGAAACTGCTTGTCTCTTCTCTCATCTGTGCCAAATTTACATATTCAACACTTGGCACAGATGGGAACTAAGCTTGCCATGATTAAATGCATAGAAAGTGGGATAAATGGTCTTTCAGGAGCAGAAGTAGGCCTGAAGACTTGTATTTTATTCTATAGATTTTCCTCTAGATTTTGATTTCTGTTTGGAGTGTAAATACATTCCCAATTAAAAAAATATTTCCCATAACTCTATGGAGAAGTAGGACTTGATGATTCAGTGCAGGGTCTGCTGATGAAAATGCTGATGGCATAAACCCACTATAATCTGTTGCTTTTATAATTTTAGGGTTAGATTTAAAACTCCACATTTTCAAAGATATTTTAAAATCGAATTCTAAAACTTCACAGCTATGCAAAACACATTTCATAATTGTGTCTGACTCTTGCATGTTACTATGGAATATGTCAAGTGAAAAGACTTGAAACAGATGATCTGACTTTTTCTTGTACAAGTAAATGTTTATACAAGTAAATGTTTGGACAACCAACAAAGTATGGTAAAACTTAGCTCTATTGAAGTATTAATATTTCTAATACACAACACATAATAACATTATGACTTATTGTGATCCTCTTAGCATCAAATTTTAATATGGATATTGTAGGGCTATATTAAGAACTTCAGTTCACTAATGAAGTGCTTAATTTGAGCACTTGTGTTACCTACCTACACAACATGCCTCCCAGGTGTTACACATCTCTAAACACAGCTGACTATTCAAATTAATAGCTCCTGGCAGAAGGTACATTTAAGCTTAATTTGAAGTCTTACTTATTGGTATGAACTTATTGAAACCAGAAAGAAAATAGCATACAAACTACACATCAAGTGACTGCCAGAGAAACAATTTATTGCTCTGCTCATTATGATTTTTTACAGACTCAGCTAAGGGAATTACTTGCTGACCTCCATCCCAAAAGGAAAAAAAAACCTCACAAAACATTTTATTTCTGAGAAAGTGCCCGCACCTAGAGCATATCAAGTTTCTTTTGCCAAGTTATAGAAACTCCATTGGCCGGCAAATAATCATGCATTCCAAAAGCACTAGAAAAGCCACAGGCAAAAAAAACCAAAGAAACATATCAGGCTGATAAGCAGAGTGATTTATTTCCTACCTGCAGCAAACTGCCTGCTCTTGCGAGGCGAGCGGGGCTGCCGCTGGTACGGATCGCTGGATCCATAGAGGTCGAGGGTGCCCATGCTCAGCAGGACTGTTTTCTGCATGAAATCCACGACTGCCAAACCATTGCAGTTCCCAAACGCCACTCTGCAAAGAGAAACGTCCCTCAAAAGTGTCAGCAATATGCAATTAAATCCTGAAAACAATTATAATTGTTGTTATGAACGGTGCACAAACTTCTTCTTCAGGAACTACTCAAGCTCACAGTTTTTATTTCTTACAGATTTGTAATCCTGAATTTTTAAAACTGTTTTCTGAATTAACTTTCCAGAAAGCAGTTACAACTTTTACCAACTTTCTTTATCAAACACATTGCAGTAATGTCTAAACATTACTTCATTGAACAATATAATTCTAATGATAATGATACCAATTAAGCCTAAAAATCAGGACATAGACCTTAAAAAGTGGTTATCCATTTATATAAAATACAAATATAAATGAAAATATAAATACAAATACATGTAAAAAATTCTTTTAAAGCTAAATTATAATGAAAAATGAGGTATATTAGACTGTATTGTGGAGATACTCAAATCTGAAAAGCATTTATAAAATTTCCTTCCAACTCTGTCAGCTTATCTACAGCAGAGATTCCTGTTGAAATAGTCTTTAGCCCCCTGAAATACTTCTGCAAATGCATTTTGATGGTGGTTTGATTTATGGACAAGATCTCTCTCCTTCTGTATCAGACTGCAATTTTAAATACCAGACAGAAAGAATTGCAGGTACAGCCACAAAGAAACTCAAAAACCCAAACTATGTTCAATCATATTCAGAATCACTTGCTATTCGGTAATTTTATGCACAGAAGCATAAAAGCACTTAATTCACACTAAAAGGGAGCCGTGCACTCACCTCCACCTGACTCTTCTTAATGTATCTCCAAAATATCTGAAAGGAATTTGTGTGTGGAAAAACAACAATGCAAAAGGAAAGTAATGAGGTGGAGGGAAAGCAGGGTAGCTAGAGAATTTTCTTCTGTCCTACCTTTTCTTACACTGCTTCTATGATAAAAAAGAGGGTTCCATATACCAAATTAAAAAGTAATATGTAAAGAAGAATGAAATTATTTTTCCTCAATTGTCAAACCAGCAAATTAAGGCACCATCTGCAACATTGAATTCTACTGGTTGTTACTACACTGTGTTTACCACCCTAGTCTCAACACTGACTGCAGTAGAGTATCCATGGAAATACTATGGATGCACATTGACTCTTCCCCGTTGGCATTTTTTTCCCCGATTGGTGTCTCTCAGGGGCCCAGTACAATACTGGGACCAGTACAGCTTAATGTCTTTACCAGTGACAGAGACAATGGAATGAGGGCACCCTCAGTAAACTTGCAGACAACACCATCTGAGATGTGCCTGAGAGACAAGTGCCATCCAGAAGGACCTGGAAGCTTGAGAAAACGGCTCGTGTGAGTGGGGGTAATGGTTTTAGACTAAAAGAGGGTTGATTGTATGTGTTCATAAATTCCTGCATTCTGGGTGGAGGGAAAAAAAAGGAATAAAACTGACAAGTGTCAATCTCATCTATTAATAGTTTAAGGGAAAAAAATGGTCATTTGCACTTTGAAAATTTTTAACCTGAGATTTATTAATTTTCAAAAACATGAGTTACAAGAAGAGCTAGTGATCATTCACACCCCTGGTCAGCAATTTAACAAAATGTATCCTTTCCTGGTCTGTATTTTTCTAAACTCCTCTAATTTCACACACAAGCATGGATCTAATATTTCTTATACCCAAACAAATTAGTTTAAAAAAGAATCTGAAATTGCTCATTAAAAACGCTTCTGAGGATGGATAAAAAAAATCTAGACAGCCATTACTATTAACAAGGCTTAAGATAAATTGCTAACAACCAAGTCCTTATGAAATCAAAAACAAAATTAATTTCTCAGTTTTGAGCAATTAACAGAATTAGTTGCTAGGTGATGTCCTATTCTGTTGTTATCTTTCACAGAAATGTCATAAAACCCTCATCAGAGATTTCTGGACAATTAATATGCAGATTAGCTGAAAACTGTTACTCCACAAGCAAGTAATAAATTTTCAGTCACTGCTTTCAGTCCAACAGAACATACTTCAAAACAAATTTATTATTCGTATTTAACCTTGTTCCTCAAGGTTAACCTAATTCTTCAGTTGTAATTGAAGCATTTGTAAAATTTTCATTTCTACTTTCATAACATCAAGAAGTTTTTGATGATTAATTTCAACATAAATAAAACAGGGGTTAATACTTCTAATTTGTAGCCTTGGTACTGTTAAAAGTAAACCAATTACATTAAATAAAATTTTGTAGAGTCTGAAGACTTTAATCTTTGCTGGGAATAAAGGGTTTTTGCATCTTTCTTTATTCCTGTTTCATGGCTGCAGTATAACAGTTCCAGAAATCATAGTAATTAAAAGAATACTGGAAACAGACTCTCCAGAACATATACCATTTTTTTGTCTTTGACCTAGTTAAACTAGTTAAATTGGTAAAGGAAGAAAAATTAGGCAAAAGATGGCCCAAATAACTCTACAATTAGCATGGTAAAAACTATGTGTTTTCAGGCTTCATGCTGAAGTGGAATAGGTTTTTCCACATGGTGAAGATAGATAACAGGTGACAAAGTAGCAAACAAAAATTCTGATGAAAGAAAGGACTGTGCCTGAGGAAAAAGTTAAGAGCAACAAGAGAAAGGAAGAGAAGAGAGTCAGCAGAAAAACTGTAAGGAAAAAGACCTTTCTTGGGTAGATTTTGTAGAAAAGTTAAATCACGTTATCATCCTACTTTATTCATACATGCATTTATTTCTGAAACACTCTTGTACTTAAATTATGGTGTTTTAAAGGAGGCTGTCCCGTAAACTCTTATTGCTCCTAGCAAATGAAACAATTTAAAGCACTTGATTGAATTAATCAGTGGTTTAGGAAACCACTGCGACCATTAGGAGAACCATAGCCTATCAGAGTAGTTTAGAAGTGACAGAACAGTGTGATTATTCAGATGTTGCCTTGGGGGTCTGAGACCTGCAAGGGAGTAAAACCTAACAATTTGCACAAGTGACAAATGCATCAAGGTATGGCAAGGAAAAGAAACTCCTGGAATTCATTAATAGGAAACAATCTAGAAATTCAGGCTGAAAACTTGAAAAAACAGTCCCCAGAAGACAGTATTTTTGCAGAAATGTAAAAACTCTGCATTAAACTGCTGAAGTCTCTGAAAAGAGTCCAGTGACTTACTGAAAATCAGCAGAAGTCAGCACCTAACACCCATTACAGCCAGTAGTTTTATTGGAGTAACACCTACAGGGAAAACCATTTTAATGTATCAGGGTGACTCTCAGTAGGAGAAAACATTAAAAATTTGCAAATAAACTGAACCTGAGGAAACAATTACACACACTCATTTGCATTGCCATCCAGAAAACAACATTTAAATACTCTTTATTCAATTTTCAATTTCAGGTCACGGATTCTTGTGCAAACAGACATTAGCACAGACATAAAAATGCTGTTCTCAGAAGACAATTTCCAACTAAAATGTGATGTCATGAAAAATGGTATTTAACAGTTAATCACTTCACTATTTTCTATTAAATGCATTTCACCTTGGTGAACCTTTCAAAATAACTTTGAAAATTACAGATTTGAAATGCAATTAGATCTTATTTGAAAGGATGGAAAGAATTATGTGAAAAGATTCAGTCTTTTAAATAGGATGAGTAAAAATATTGGCAAGAATGGCAGTTAAACATCCCATATTAAAATCTCTATGTCAGTTCAAATAACTTTTCCCCAAGAATCTGATTTACAGCATCTTTTGAATACTTTGCTTTGACTTTAACTGTCTGTGGGAAATTTCAAAGTATAGTTGGAAAACTAATTTAGCGCAAGAAACAATAAATCAATGCAACCTTAATTCTGAGTTACTTACAGTCCGTAAGCAGAGTTTACAGCAAGGCTGGTAATCTGTTGTGGAGGCTCACCATCCACCCACACCAGCTGGATAACCAGATCTGCCTGGTAGCCAGGAGGCATCCGCACAGGCCGAGCCTTAACGCTAAGAAGAGGAGGTACAAAATGAGAACAAACAAACAGACATTGGGCCATGAAAAACAACTGATTTGCATCATTATGAATTGTCAACTTGAATGGAAAACCTAAAATACTTTCTTTTGAGACTTTGTAAAAGGACATCGCTGTGTATTTGGAACTTATGTTTGCTGAAGTAAAGCATGACAGAAAAATGCAAAGAGGCAAGAGAAGATCAGAAGATACACCTTTCTGTAGTGGTCCCCACCAGAGCATATAAAAAACTTATGGACTTGACAAATCTATTTGTCCATGTAATGCAAACAAGTCCTGTTTTACTTCTAGGAGCATAATCACCTAATGCGTGAATGAATGGTTCCTACCAAGTTCAGTGACTTGCAAAGCAGGTAGTGAAGGAAACTGTAAGACTCTGTATGACTACTTTATGTGCTTTATGTGCTTTTTTGAGTGGTACAATAATGTGGGATATGCTGGAACAAAACACTATGCAATAATAGCAATACTTTGAGGTATTCATGTTAGTCATTAGTACATTCACACTGTAGTAGTAATTTACAGGTAATACCCACTTGTCAGTGCATTTTCACTGTACCTGTTACTGGTAAGAGTGCTTGTATTGCACCCCTTTGCACACAGGCATAAAATAGGGCAGTATACTTTATGAGAAAGTCATTCCTCATCTATCCTCTAAATGCATTTCCTTAACAGCAGCTTGGCACGCTCACTGTTCTATTTCTTTTCCCTGTAGTACCCTTCCAACCTTACATGTGTTATTTGTCTGGAGCAGTAATCAAGCACTTGGCTGGGATATTGTAGGAAAGACGTGACAGTGCAGTTCAGCAAGTGCTCAACCCACCACAGCTGGCAATAGCTTTGTATTGCTCTTTTCTATAAACAGCAAACCTCTGCTCAGATTTTTGCAATTTCTGACCTGTTCTGCTGGCATTAAAACTTTGCCCTTTTTTTGTTCATATGATACATAGCCACGAGCATTTCTAAAGTGATGCTATTCCTAACTTTAAAGAAGCAAGCCCTGCATTACCCAGGAGCATTCTGGCTGAGAACAAAGGTGTGAACATCTGTGAACTCAAGCTGCTAAGGGGAGGGGTCCTTTGAGACCAGGATAAACTGAAACTACAGATAAGAGTTGTATACAGTAAAGATGTATTGTTTTCAAAGAAACTTCACAGCAAGCAGAAGCTGAATATTTTACAAGCAGTACTTCAGAGTATCTTTGTGATGGAGCCCTTCAATTTCTAATGTCTGTAGGTAAAATAGTGGTGGTCTTTCCATCTTGTACCCCATTTTCAGCTTTCAGCTCCTGCCCTTAAAAATGTTAGAAAAATATAGAACAGGTAAATGAAATCCAAGAACCAGGACTTAGTGTAAAGCCCTTTCAGCTGAGCTTTCCATCCATACTTTCTAATGGATAACTGAAGCTGTGGGAGAACCCAAGAGGCAAGCATGCTGCTCCAAGTATCTGTCAAAGCAAGAATCTGTTTCCTTCGTCTAAACAAGCTACCATGAGACTGACAATGGCAGCAGAAGTAATTTTGATCTTCTAAAACATGTTTTTTAATGAAGTATTACTTTTCCGATGTGTTCTTAATGGCATCCTGAAAAAAATTAAAGAACTTCAAGTATCTTCTAAGTTTTCTTTTGAACTGCTGTCATTTGAGGGGGAAAAAACCAAACACATTTCCCTCTAATATTTTTCACTATAAATTTGAAGACCTGCTTTGATAAAAATGGATATTATTTCACAGGGATTTTCTCTAAGCATAGAATAAATTATAGGTGGTGAAAGATGATAATAATGAAGTAAAATAATTTCACATTTAATAATTAAGGTTGTCATTCCCATGTTTCTGTGACATCTTCCTGCTTAAGAATCTTTGAGGTATTTCCCTTGTTTCCCTAACTATCCTGCTTAAACAGTAATGCAGATATTCAGTTCTGCACCTTGTTTTGGATTACTTTTTATCTGAAGTGTTACAATAAAAGCCTAAACAGACTGCAGGAGTACGAGCAGAAGGAATGTAGACATTTCAGAGATTACCTTGACATGTTCTTGTTATGCTACACTGAATTTCATTGTTGCAAAGTTTTGGTTTTTAGGTTTTTTTTTCACAAGATATTCACAGTTCCTTATCACTTTGGAGTTACTTGAAGCTACTGTCAAACCCCTTGACTGACCTAATTTTGGGATGATACTAGAAGTCTGGGAACAAAGACTGACATTCTGGGTTCAGCTTTATGATAACAGCATTTACATCAAAAGTATTTATCTGCATAATCACAAATCCATTGGTTTCTTAGGTTATTACAGCTGCCTATTTCACTGCAAAATCTTCTGAAAGAAGCAAGAATAATATTTATTCCATACCTGCCTGCCTGCCTCTCTCGGTAACAGTAACTTCTGATTTCAGAAAAGCACCAAGTTTTCATTACTTCAGTCACTCCAATTACTTTCCTCCTAGTAGCTATTCACAGACACAAACACATTCAGTCATTCTGACTTCTGGCTAGAAAAATTTATTTAGTGTGGAGTGCCATTCACTTGCTGTAACAATGGTGAGAAGCAGATATGAAAATAAACATAATAGAGCCAGTTATGTATGTATGCAAAATTTTATGTGCATTATCAATATAGTTCAAGTTGTGCACTCACCCTCCATGTGCAGCTGGCTGCAGCTTTGCATTAATATTGCTCTGTCTTAGATTCTATCCTGCTGCCCACCTGAATGATTTGCACATAAAGTCAATAGCATCACCCTGGTCTTCACTGGCTTTTTCCAATGTTTTCAGTGCTATTTTCATTTTACCACCATAATTTTGTTTAGATCAGAAGTTCTTAGACAAGGCCCATAGACCCGGCTAAGATTTGGGGAGAAAGTGTGGAAGTGTGGATATTTGTATGTCTTTCCTGAGAAGGATAATAGCATACATAAGTATATTTTTATCTAAATGTAGGAGTGTGCCAGCAGTTCTAGTGGTATAATTCCTCTGACTTTGAAAAGTCACTTAGTCAAAACAAGATTACAGTTACCTTGTCTAAACTTTGACAAAAATGTATTGGCTGGCTTAATCTGAGACCATTTGAGATAAAAAAACTTCTAAAAACTAACAAGCTGAATCTCTGTGGGTTCATTACAACTTTTCTGCCTCCAACATCAACAATTCCTCTCTTTCACAGACAAAATCAAGTAAGAATCTCTTAAGCAAAACTCTTAACCAGTGAAATGATTAAATGATTGCATTCTTCCTGATATCAATGTCATAAATAGATTTCACATTTGGATTTTTTAAATAACTAATCTCTGCCTGTTCTGTTGATTTTTGTAGTTAAAATTAATGATTAAACTCCGGTCTGGAGATGGACAAATGAATAGATTGCCAAAAAATACTGTTAATTTTACAAGGACAATATCACAATCTTGCTTTTAAATACTAATGCCATTTTCAGAAACCAAGCAGCTTAAAGTATCTGCAAAATCAGGAAATGTTCATTTTAACTGCTTTTGAAATAACTGAGGCATTTAAAAGATTTAATAATACTTAGACCAAAATAATAACGAATTCACCAAAATGAGAGTAATTCTTGTCAGCAATGCACTCTAATTGCTGGAAAATTACAGTTTTTATAGAGTTTTGTACAGAATTACTGTTTTAAGCTATTCAAATTCATAATTATCTGCCTTAATAAGAAGAACATATTAATCTACTCCAAAACAGTGACAATATATTCTGCCAGGAAACAATTTGCTTTTTTTCTATAGATTAAACAAATATACACTTCCACACGGTGCAATTGTTTCATAATTGTACATTTTAAAGATTGTTTCATAAGTATGAACACAGTTTCCATGTTTTACACACCAAAAAATACACACAGTTTTTTCATTTGAAAAAATTAACATTAATTAGTAATAATTAATAAAATTAATCAAGGAGTGAAAGCTTTGCACATGTTAGCTTTTATGGAAGTTTCTCAATGAACTACCCTCAGAAATTCCTTCAAGATATACTACTAGATCACACTGGGAAATGAGAGTCAAACATTTAGTGCAACAGTTTATATTCTTCACAATTACTTCTCTCCTTTTAAAATCCCTTGTTGATTATTTTCCCTTAATTATTTTGTTTGTTTTGTTATTTTGTTTGTTGTTGTTTCTTATCATTTTGTGTCACATACATACAATTAATCTTTTTTTCTTGGGAGTTGATGGATTGACTAACAGATAAGAATGCTTTTTAGAAAGATCAATATTTAAACAATGGCATAAACTTACCTAAGACATGGGATGCTGTCCTTCATCGTTCCTTCACATGCTACAGTGTTGGTACTGCCTGAAAGGCTCTTTAAAGAAGGAGGCTGGGAGGAGGCATCTGGAAATGGAGGATTTGTTTCTGGTTCAGGAGTAATGATGTCTTCTACTTCGCACTGAAGTCGTACCTCTAATGACTTAAATAAATAAAAAGCTAAGTTATCATTTCATAAGGAAAACTGCTGAAAGTTCTGTTACTTTCAAGTGAATATCAGTATGCTTTTCTTTTTTTTTTTAAACAACCTTCATTTATCTAAATTTGCAGGCAAAGAATACTGTCATTTGTTATTTATACAGAGTAAGAGCAACATCAGATAGGAACTAGAAGGATCACCAACTCTGTCTCCTGATTACTCGTACGACGGAGTCTCAACGAGACAAGTTTTAGCCAGGATGGATAAGCCTGACAGTGTGAATAGTACTGATACATGAGCTTCATTTATCCATAGGTGGGGCCAGGAAATCAAAGATTAGAGCACAGACAGCTCTGTGTTCCTCAGAATCAATATGAGTTTGGAGGATTTTAGAAAGCAAAATTCAAACCAGTTACCTTTTGCTTTCCTTTTGGCCTCTCGAGAAAGGGAAAATGAGGTCGAACCACCCTACAAATCTCTCCACTATTTCAGGAAATATTAACTGAGGACTCCAGGGAGGAACTGGACAGGAAGTTCAAATCTAGGTAAGCAAATACTGAGCAATTCTTTCTACCTCATGAGTTGTCCAAGGAAATACACATTTTGAAAATAGTAAAAACCAAGGTACAGCTCTCAAAGAGACAAGGTCTGGGGATTACTAGTTGAACAGTAATTTCAGTGCTGCTACCTTCATGGGAATAGAAGCAATTGCAGAGGTAGACACTGTAAACTCAATCTTAGTGATCTTTCACTGAGATATCACCTGTACCAGAATGAAGCTTAACAAAATAGCTAAATTTCTTGTGAATTGGGAGACAAAGGTGACTAGTACTGAAATCACCTGTTTCTCAACCATTGTGCTAAAACAAATAAGATTTCAGAAAGAAGAGATTCTGTTCAACCAGGAGAGAGAGTCCTTTCTCAAAGCTTCCCTTTTATTTTCTCCTTTCAAAAACCATGGATATTTTGTGCCTGAATCAGTTAAAGAAACCTACCAACAACATTTGCCTTCAAAGACTAATGAGTGAAATATTGAGTTCAGGAAAATCTAATCTGGAAGTAATTGCAGCAGACTGAAACAATTTATAATTCTGTTTAATCTTTATGCAGGACTGGAGTAACTGCTGAAGAGTATGTTCTTCTGCTTACCATGTTAGAAGTGCATCACTCTTCTTTGAATGTTTTTCTGTGTGTATTCTTTTCTCCTACTACAATTAATTTTTAAAGTTCTAGCTGTTGTACATTTGAAGAGAGAAAGAAAAATTCAGGCTAAAAACATGATTGTGAATTTTTCTTATGTTTTTGTCCCTGCTTTGACTGGAATCTAGGAGGTTATAGAAGTGTTGAACTGATTTATTTTGACACAGATTAAAGATATTTTTGGGGAATTTCATCACTGGGCTTATTGATACCCCTTTCCACAGTCAAATGAGTGTAAACTTTTTTCCTATGTTTCTTCTCAAGAGCTTTGAAGAGGAGCTTCACTGAGGAAAGACTGCTCACTGAGAAAGTGATCATGTTTAATTAATAGATCATTTTGAGACAGGATGAAGTGGATTCAGATAAGAAAACAAAAATAACAGCAGTAAATGCATTTTATATAACTGAATGGCAGTGACTCCAAGCTTGGCTATGAAGCAGAAATGATGCAAATAATACTTCTGTTTAGGAAATTCCAGGCACAGCCTATGACCCTGAGGCATATTCAGCTGCAGACTTCCCTACCACATGGAGCAAACTTTGAGTAGCCCCACACTTCCCATTTGCCATGGCAAAAACATTACAACACTGATATCAGGGCAGTCAAACCAATGTGGGGGCCCTAAAATGCTGGGATTTTTAGATTGAACTCAGGGCAAGTTCAGCCTGGCTGATAAGGAAGGGAGGACAACAAAGTGCTTTGTACCTCAGGCAGCAAAGAAATCTTGAGATTGGCCAGCTCAGGCTCAACACAGACAAAAACACACAGCCTAAAGTCAGGTACAGATTCCAACAAAGAATTCCATACTTTTGATTAAAAGTCCCTCCCATCATTTAGAGCAACGACTTGAATGCAACCAGCAAAAATGCAGAAAGAAGAAAGAAGGCCATTTCCCCTGGCACAAAACCCAGGAGAATTCTGTAACTGTACCACCAAGATGGCATAATTTAATATTTAGGGGAAAATGCTTATTAATTACAGATGAAATCTAAGAAACTGTTAAATTGCACCTATTATACCTCTTTAGAAAATACCAGTAATAATGCAATTCAGTCAGAGAAATGAAGAACAGGGAAAAAAGGCATTAAATTATAGATAATAAAAGATAAGGTGCTTTTGCTGTAGAACAATGTAATAATACTGAAATGGAGTAATTTTAGCAGCATTATACATGAGCTGGTCAAAAATGTGAAATTACTGTTCATCAGTTTTAAACCTTTCCTGAAATGATACATTCAGGCAGCTTAATAATTGCCTGAGCAGGGAAAAAGGAGTGGAAAACAACAGAAGAACTACAGGTAATGAATATCCATACAGAATGGCACATGGTTTTTGCCACAGTAGAACTTTCTAAAGAGCATTAAAATAGTGTGAAAAGGAAAAGAACTATAATCAGGGAAGGTGACAATCTGGCATTTCATATAGTTTCCATTTTTAGGGAAACAATGTCAGCATAAGCCAGAAAAAGATCAACTCTTTGTTTTGGTAAACCCCCTGATAATTTTCAGTCTCCTTATGAACAGAAATTAAAGAGATTAAATACTTGAGTGAAAAACAGCATTGTGCACATACACAATGTACATTAACTGATAAAAACATACAGCAGACAGTAATTTTAGGCCAGGTAAATACAAGAGAGATTGCTGTATCATAAAGTCTTAAAAGCAAACCATGTCTGAAAGCTGCACTGTATGTAACTACTAAAGCAAAAAGAAAGTGGAGAGTAGGCTCCCAAACCCTCAGAGTTTTGTCAGTAACTGAAGTAGGATCAAGATTTCCCTGGAAAGGTTTAAAATGGAATGTCCCTAAACTTGTATTTATACTGATTGCTATTTTTATTTAAGTACTTGAGCACATATGAAGCAAGGCAATTTGATTTAGAAATTGTTCTCTTATAAGAGAGTGAAATGAATACTTACTGCAATTTCAGTATTTACTTCATGTTTGCTGAACCTGTAAACAATCACATATGCAGAAACTCCTGCCACACAGAAAATTCTGCTTTCAGGACACCAGTACATCATCTGAACAGCAAAAGGATCTTCTTCCACAATCTCAGCTGTTGCTTTTCCTTCTCCCACTTTCTGTTTTTCAAAGACCTTTGATGTTTTTAGTTTGTATAACATCTGTAGAGTAACTGGAATATATTAAAACATATAAAAATACTAACATGAAGCAAAAATCAGTTATAAAATTCCTCAGTTCCCACTTTCTTCTTAGTGTGACATAACAAGGAACTTTAGGAAAGCCTAAGAGGAGAAGATGTGTATTATACAATCATCCAAACCAGGACAACAATACAGATACTGTTCTGGTACATCTTACTGGTAGGATATGTGTTTATTACTTCTCAGAAGGGTATTTGTCTGTGAAATACTTCTTAATACTTTCTGGGGAAGGGTGTCAAAGGTGTAAATCATTGTGTCCAAAATTAGGCTTCTAATCAGTGCTAGAGAGAGGCTCTGATGATATTGATAATTTCCTAAAGAGATGTGAAGCTAAGATTTCATTTGTCTGAGGTTATGGTCTTTATAAAATGTAAAGAGTGTATGGCAATTCAAGAAAAAAACATTAGGAAAGCATGCTGGTGGCCTGGTCAACACAAAGTTCTTCTGAATTAATGGGAGTTCAAAAAAGTTTTGAATTTTTCGACTAATATATAGATCTATATTTATACCTGTATATAAAATCCTAGTCTCCAGAAGCTTTTGTCAAGATTAGAACTCCACTGCAGCAAATTCCAGAAGTAAAGGAGGGGTGACATTTCACTCCATTATGTTTTCCATTCTTCCCTGTTTTTACTACTTTTACATTGGTTTCTCAGTAACATTAATCAGTAACTGCATAATGTCAGAAAAAGTCAGTCAAGTCCAGCACCTATAAAGGTGTGCAAATCCACAAAGGCAAAGCTGCTGCCTACAGTCAGTGTAATTCTGGTAGTTCAGCCTGGCCAGCTTGTATAACAAGAGCAACAGGAAGATGAAAGGACAGTGTTTTAGTTATGTAACCAGATGATGAACATAGCAAAACTACATTTTTGTTTGGCAGTGCAGATATATTCCAGAAGGTTTAGCATATAAAGTTTTTAATGCTTTAAAAAGTTTTAGCACATAAAGCAGTTCTGAATTTCACAAATTACAGTAAGTGCTTCTGTAATAAATACATAATTCTCCCTGCCCTCACTGGCAAATGAAGAGAATTCAGGTTGCCAGTTGGTACCAGTAGCAAATCTAGACTGGCACTTCAAATCAGGCATCATGGGTGCATGCACATTATTACTGGAAGAATTATAAAATCATAGGATACAGAGACAAGACAAGACTCTTTATGCTCTCTTACTGGGTACCATCTGCACAAATAAAAAAACCCAGAAATATCTTTTGAATAAAGATACATTTTGGAAACAGCTCCAGTGGTCTGGCAAGTCCCTGTGTCTCACAGATCTGTGCTTTTAGACACAAGATTAAACAATTAAAATATGTCTAAAAGCAAAGTATTTTGTGCCTTCAAATACTGCTAGGATATTGTTTGCTAGGGAATCTCAAATAAACTTTAAACTCCATTAAAAACGTTAACACTTTGTAAATAAAATAAATAACAAAACTTTGTAATAATCAAAACCTTGTAAATAAAGAGCACCAAGCATGGTAGGAGTAACATAGTACATGACCTGAAAATCAGGACTAGGATCAGGACATGAGAGATGCACTGAAAATACCAGTCATGTTGAAGAGATTGTGAATATTCATGATCATCTAAGCTTTCTATGTTAAGAAAAATTCCTACTGGAGCATGTATATATTGATTAGGTTATGCTAATATTCCCTATGAGAGGTTTTTTCTTTCCCCATTTCTGCCCCAGTTCTAGAAGGAATGAATAGCACACTTGCTTCCTGTGCAGTACACACACTAAATGCCTTGGGGTCTTCCAACAGTCTGCATTGTTTCACCCTAACTTTAGAGCCTGTATTTGCACATTCTTCTTCAAACTGAAATATTCACAAGACAAAGTCTAATGTCCCACTGTACTTCTCTAAATAAAACTAATTATCCTACTTTTGTTCATTTTAAAGCTCTCAAAAACTTCATTTCAGCAGATAAACTGTTGACCTCATTTGATGATTTGTGTTCACCATAACTTGCAGACAGTGGAAGACGTAAATTCTGAGCACCATGTTTCTGTTCTCCCACCATTTCCAAACAGACAAATTACATAATTAAAAACCAATCCATGGCCATGTTCAGTTTCTGTGCCAGTTTACTACATGAAAAGTATTTTGTGAAATGAGGCTTTGGAAATCCTCATTTCTCCTTGTCCATCCTGAATGAAAATATTTGGTATTAAGCAAAAAGGCAAGTACCTGATGAAGTCATCAGGTTTCGCTGACTTAAAAAACTTGTCAGCATTCCCCCTACTTGGCTGATAATGGTAGCAATATTAATAATTTAAATTCTGTGGCACCACGTGGAACTTGCAGGTATTTTAAGTATCCCATACTCCATGATCTTGGTACCCATTACAGACTGGTTATTAGGGTCATATTAAATCTCTCTATGCCTATCATTTCATCCAGAATTTTCTTCCATGCTTTTTTTTCTTTAACACACTAATACCTCTTAAAAGAGAGATATTACCCAGACATGCCTGTACCATCAAAAAGACAAGAATACAAGGCAACTCTACAGGAACTTTGGTGAAGCACTGTCAATTATTTGAAGCAGAATATTTTACATTTCCATCAAAATGTATGTGTATTTTAATAAATACATTTTACTAATGAATACCATATGTATTTTGTGTAGGGAAAATACTGGTTGCTGATATATGCAATTATAGCTGGATTATATGGAACAAGTATTTTCTGAAGCTTTTTCCTGCCAGGATGAATGGAAATGAGTCCCAATTATTTCCTGGGATTTGAGACTGGACAAGAAAAGGTTTTGGTATTTTCCAGCCTCACCAGATTAAATGTTTTGAAATGTAATAATGTATTTTCATATCTTATTTTTTCCTCAGCTATGAAGAAGACTTTGTTGTACTCAGTATAGAAGTGACATGACAACTGGAACTAAATGTTAGATCTAACTGAGTCTTCTCCTCTATACACACAAAAAGAGTGTGCCCTAGGGACATGTGCCCTTTGTCCTAATTATATCAGCCCAGCCATTACTACTCAGCCTGTTAAATATCCTGTTTTAGATATAAATGTGTGTTTGTGTGATTTGTCAGCATTATGTAAAAGTGAACTTTAGAAACTTACTGGCAGAAGCATCCCAAAATTTTACTGATCCATCTGCATGGCTTAAAAAAAATATAAAAATTAAATGCGTTAAAACAAGATGCAATTCTAAAATATTATCTACTTTCAGTGACTAATAAATACAAATAGAAAAATTCATTTTATTTATGCATCTCTCTATAAATTACTGACAATATATTAAAGACATACATACAAACTAGAAGAAAATACTTTGTTATTTGGTTTAATTTGATTAACAAAATATTTTTATGCATTTCTTGCAGAGAGCTAAGCCCCCAGTGAATTTTAAGATTGCAAAAAGAAGAAATTACTTCCCATACTAATAACAAGCTTAAGTCACAGCACTTTTGGCTTTGCAGTGGGCCAGCATCAAACCTATGCACTCTAAAAATGTCATGTAGAGTGAACTTGGAAAGGACAGAAGGTAACTTCATTTTGCTTGATACTTCATAACTGTGTTCCTTTTATTAACATAAAACTCCTGAAGCAAAGCTGGAAAAAGGAGACACTTCTGTTTACAATGAAAATGATTCCTTCATCACCTTCTCGTACTACAGCATACATCATAACCTCATTTTTTAAATCAGATCTTTAGTATCATTGATAGCATCAATTCATCAAATACATGACTGAGACTAGAGTAAAACTCATTGTGCATCTTAGCTGAATGAATAGTGTCTGTTTTACAGTACGATCCCTTGGGAATCCACCAGGCATTGCTCATGGGGCTCCTACTGCAGTCTGAGCCTTTCTTTTTGCTCTGTTTCTCTGCCCACAAGGTGAAATTCATCCCAGTGCACCACACCCTCACTAATGCTGACTATTAAAAAGAATTCCCAAACTGTCCCCAGACAGAGAGTCCAGAAGGCCAGGGAACAACAGCTGCTCTCCTTTTTGAAGCTATTCTCTGTGACCTCCAAGGCCAAAATATTCTCTTAAAACAGAATTTTTTTTTGCAAAGACCCTGCCTTCACAAGCATTGCTATCTAACAGTGGGGCCTCAATGGTTATTCTTAATGTAGCTCAACCCTGGGTACTAAGTTCTGCTTTCTACAGCAAAAGAGAATTTCTGTGGTGACACTACTCAAGTGAAGAGCCAGGAAATGCATATGGGGTGAAGTCTCAACTCTTATCTATAGCTAACTTACAATCGAAATGAGTAGACTACAAAATAGTCTTTAAAAATATAAATAAAAATATTAAAAATATTTTTTAAAGTAAAAAATAGTTTAAAAGTACCAATCCCCAGTTTCATTCTCACCCTGTAATAATGATTTCAGGATATGTCTGAGCTCCAAGATTCCATGCTCCACCACTGATAGGCCACTCCTAAAGAAACAAAAAGTGCAGAGATCACAACTTATTCTGATGAACCTTGTTTGACTAATTTTTAAATTCAGAAGTAGACTACATCTTCCCCCTAAAAGAAATAAAACTTCTAAAAGAACAAAAATATGTATAATTCAAGAATTTTACAGTTTATTAACATTTTTGTGTCATCAGTTCAGGCTTTGGAAACTTAATATCCTTTTTATATTATCAACTAATATGCTTTTTAAATATTTTCACACAGCTAACATTCAACAGCCTAAAGCAGGAATGCAAAGGAGGAGTAACAAACAATTCTGCTGGTCTTTTGAGATGGCTTTTCTCTTGGAGATTCTGTAGAACACTGAATAGACCAAGAATTTATTTTGAATACAAAGACCACTGAAAAAGCTGGCCCAGAAACAAGTATCAGAGCACAATGCCATGAGATAAGAGAATGCAACTTTTACAGATCATATGAGATCATCATCTCTTCCTTGCCTTTTGTTTACTAATGGTCTAGAACACTGCCCTGTGCCTAAAGCCCTGACATGTATGGATACAGGATGTAGAGGGTGGCATATGTGCAGAGTGGGTCAGGGTGTGTGCAGAATATGAGTGGGTGGAGAAAAACCAGGAGCACAGACTGTTTGTGTGGATACATGGAGTGGATGCTTGTGGGTCACTCTGTCACATGGGTGACCACCCACCTTCAGAGTGCATTTGCACATGCACAAATAAAGCAAGAGAGAAAGAGAGGATGTAGGAAATACAGGCAGGTATGCAAAGTGTATGAGGTATGGGTAGATCCACATAGGAGAAATAAAAATATTTTCTGAACTGCGTTTGCGAACCAAGGTGCAAAAGAAGTAGAGAGGGCTCACTCTCTGAGTTAGTGGAGAACAACCCAGCTCCAAGGAGAGTACTTCCATTGATTTGAATAGAAAATTGATGATGTCTGACTTGTATTTTTTTCTACTTTATTTATTAAAATGCATTAGTCCTAGCCAAAATACAAATCAGTTAAAAGCTTGAAATTTATAAATTAATTGCATTTCTTCTTTTACATCCTGAAGCTTGTCCTATTTCTACAGCATTATGGTAAGACTTTGGTAGCTCAGTAAAATAATTACTATTATTATCCCTATTTAATAACAAATCTCACAGACATCGTCAACTCTCACTGAACATCTGCCAAAATCTTTCAATTATAATGCTTTCACTTTTTTCTTTGATAGAGAGAACCTATCCATACAAATTTGAATTGTACACTGATGCCTCGCCTTTAACACAATCTGATCTGGAATAACTCCAGCATCTTAATGATTAAGTCCTATCTAATGATAATTAATGGTTCTGCTTAAGTGGTAATGTTTCTGAGGGACGAATATTGGACTGTAATCAGACTGCTAAGATGCAGGTTGCACTAACCTTAAAGTGATTATTAAAGGAGTAAAACAAAAATAATATGGTAAGAGGTTACAAAAACATAGGTTACACATCTACTTTGCTTAAAAAAAAGAATATTGTTTACCTTATTGCTGTATCCTTGCTTTTTATGTTTTGCTCCTACAGAATAGAGTACAGGGATCAAATCTGGAGGACAGTCCGCAAAATATTCTGTGCAGGTAACAGGTGACTCATGAATGTCAATAGGATATGGATTTTCAAAGATTGGAAAACTAGTTAAGGAAGACAATTTATTAGAAGCACTGTGACACACTGAGCCATAGAATAAAACATATTCTTATATTAAAGTATATAACAGAATCTAAGTAAAATCACTACTAATTAAATTTTCCCATATTTATTCAAACTTAAGTATTGTTTTTAATATTAGTAATAATGTGTAGTTACTCAAATAAAGACATAAAAATTCAACAAGACAAGGATCCTGTATAAATACTCCCTAAGGCTAATAGAGCAACCTTTATGAATGAACAAGAACTAAATTTTTCTGACATCTCAAAATCTTATTATACAGAAGTGACACATTTTCCAGAAGTTTCAGGTTTATGGATCTGATATATACTATGAACTACAAACTACTTTTACAATTGTGGATTTTATATTGAACATCTTAGCTTATTGAGTTGGTAGACTTCTGAGTATACAATGAAAAATTGCAATAACAGATGAGTAGATCCCAGTTTATTTCTCACTTCCATCAATTTGAACAGCCTGATAAGGAGGAAAACCTCACTTTTTGCACATTAGACAATGTTATTCACAATTGAAAAACATAGGAAACTGGGTTCTGATTTCAGTTATGCCTATTTTATAGACATAACTGAAGATTATCTAAATTATTCTTTAAAGTAAGTGAGATCTGAATAAGATTCACTTAACATTTTTAATACATTGATAGCAAAATCTGTTCCTTGTTACACCAGTGTGAATGTGGATGTCCATTACTGGTAGTGTTGGAGGCAGAACAAAATAAATAATTGGATTATGCTTTACATGATGTAGAGTTCCTCTTTGACAGGAACATTGATTCTGGTAGGAAAGAGCTATTTGTCATTTAAACCAGCAACTGGATCATGAAGTAATTATGTAAATCCATATAAAGCAATGCCACTATTTATTAAGATATTGAGGCTAGACATGCATAAAAGTAGTTGTTGAATCTTATTTCCTTACATATGTGTTCAAATATTATTTAACTTTGGTGTTGAATGAATGTTTGAGGGCTGTGCTGAAGGGACTGTAGATTTAGATTTATACCAAAGTTTAAGAACAAATATTATCCTAAGTTCCTGTTCATTAGATGAACTTAGCTCTTAAAAGTAGAAGTAAATATTTAGCAGGAGTTATTTCCAAGAGTGAATGATTTTGGATAGTTAAATGATTTTGAATTTTATGGTAATTTACTGGACACTTAAACACACATATAACTTCATATAAAATTTTATACTTACTTGCTTTGTGTCAGGTCAACGACAATGAGATCTTTTTCCAAAAGCACAACTACAGCATAGGGTTCTTGAAATTCTGTAAGCAAGGGATCAAGTATAAAAGACATGGAGTTCTCCTACCAGCCATTTTAAGTAAGCAAGCAATATTTATGCTCTTTAAACTTTCACAGTATATGAGAAGCTTTGAGGTATAAACCCTTGACATATGCACAAACCAGACATAGCTGGAAACTAGGGCCAGAGAGGAAGTAGGAAATTACTTTTGGACAGTACTGTTGACAAACATACAAAGCAGAAGAAGAATTGGAGTATTATAACCTGCCAGCATGATGCTACGTTGAAAGTAAAGAAGTAGAATATGAATAAGTTGTGTGCATCATTGCATTATTGAATCCAATTGTTATACAGAAAAAGTATTTTTGCTGTCCAAAAGTAATACTTCTACTGTGTACAACTGCTCTGCAGAAACAGATTGTGCAGGACACTTCATGATACACAATGCCCCCATTTCTTAGGTAATTAAAGGAGAATATTCCCTAGGAATCCTATAAGTCTGCTGTTTTCAATTCAGGTAATAACATGCCCCTTCCTCCCACACACTCTTTAGGGGATTATATGCTTTGGTTTTTTTATACAAGTCTCTTTTTATTTATCAAAACTAAAGAATTAAGATGGCAAATAAATGCTTCCCTTGATGCATAGAGTATATTCATTTACATACTTTTTATCATTTACATTTTTTATAAAAAAATAAAATGTGAAATCATGACTTTCTTTTCAACAGCAGCAAATCATTCCAGCACGTGCAAGCTCAGAATAAACTGTTCAGATGGGTGATGCCAAAAGGAAGAGTAAATGAGAGCAACTGATTCATCTTCCTTTCAGTCCTGCTATGAATGCACATTATTTGTTGCCTCTTTTTATACTTGGCTATGAATAACACAAGTTAAACCAAAATGTTTAAATATTGGTCTGTGAGCAGGGGAAGATGCTAAAAACCTAAGTACTGGGAAGTATTTGACACAGTTAAATGAAGGCCCAAAGCAACCCTGATTACAGAAAATTAAATTTTTGCATGATATTGAAGTAGATATACACTTTATCTTTACTAAGTGTTTTCAATGTATATTTGGTTTACCTATGTATATAAGATTTATTTAACTTTTCTGCTTGAGGGCTGACAATGCTAAAGTTAGTTCCTTTCTGACTTACATCTTTTCTTTATTTACTTTCTGGAACTTTCTGACAACATATTTCAGAACTTGGCAGCCTCACGGTATGCAGCAAACATAACACTTTTTAACAATTCATTTCATGCTGAAGTGTAAGAACCTTTTTGCAGGTAAGTGATAGTTAAATTTTCATAATTTAGCAAGTTGTAAATGATGAAAAATTTCAGAAATAAAAGCACCTATCTTTGATTAATAGCAATGCTTTCTCACAGTAGCTCATGGGTTTCAATCCTATAAGTGGAGATTAATGCATGCTTTATTGTCCACTCACTACTTGCTTCCTACATTTAGAATGCCAACAAGTTCCAGGTACATTAAGTTATGTAGTTTTCCTGAGATGAAGACAAACATGAGGATGGAAGTCCCTGGAATGGGATTAATGTATGAGGAAAGATCGTTTTGTTTATAGATTCCATAATTGTATTTTTCCCAATAAACTCACCATTTGGATATGGGGTTTCACAAAGAGTTAAAAAATCGACTATAGGATGATCCATTTCAAGAACTGTAATTGCTTTCCCATGCATGATTGTTAAGCTTGGTCTTCGACAAGGCTTATCATAGGACAATCCACCAGAAAATATCACAAATGGTTCACTGTATTAAAAAAAACAAGTGTAAGTCTACATGGTACATAAAAGTTTACATTACGGCTTTAGTAGCTGCAAATAATAATAAATAGATTTGTAAAAAGAAAGCAGGAAAAGATTCTAAAAGGACTTAAATTTGGGAATGTAATATTGAGTTAGTTATAGAATTAAAAACAAACCTGTTTTTACAGGTCTTGTACTCTACTTTAAGAATTGGTTTACAAGATTCAGGTTTTTTTCCATCTCTTTGGACTTTTCCTAAGGAAAGAAAGAATATGAAAACTATTAAAACATGAAATTGAATGTTCAAACTAAAACATATACATTGAAAGAACTGTGTAAGAAACAAAGAAAGGAACTTTAAAGCTACAAAAGATTAAAAGCATCAGCTCCTATTTTCATAAAATACACATTTGTCTAAATTAATTAAATTTATTATGTCTTTGTGTTTTTACTGCCACATACATCTAAAGGACTACAGAACACACTTCAAAGACATCTATAAACCATGCAGATTCCTGAGTATGAAACTTAACTAATAATGAGTGAATCAGACTAATTAGGTACCTTTTTTTCTGAATGACCATAACAGCTCAATTTTTCCTAAGCCATTCTTAGACTGACTTAATTCCTGTTGTTGACAAAACATGACCTGCTTTGGTGTATAACTAGTTGAGTGATAAAATTAAATGAATCATACTACTGAAATTCATTAATTTTTGGTTAATTATGTCTCAGTACTTTTTTCCAATCAGAGAAAAGTCACTTGCAAACTGGAAAAATAGAAATTTTGAGCTTCTTGCTTTGGAAAGCCTATGTTGGCTTTTGACAACAGTCTGACTGGAGGATACAGTTTAGATGGATAAAGACTTTTCTCAGAGGTAAACAGTGCTGTGATGGAAGATAAAGAACATAAGTTGTGGTATGGAAAATTCTGGTTAGATATTAACAAAAATATTTGTGCCACATAGGTCATTAAATACCAAAATATATTGCCCAAAGAGGTTGTGCAATATTTTGCTGGAAGTGTTCAAGTGCCCAGTGTCCTGTGTTTACTCATCAAATCAGGCCTGTTTTGATCTAGCCATCTGACTGGCTGAGAGTTCCCTTCTGACATTGTAGAATTCTATGACTAAAACTGATAAACCAGAACTAAATTAAGAAAATGCTAAATCTTTTTGGGGCTACTTTGGTCTTGACTTCTTCTCCTTCCTCCTTCCCTACCCAGTCAGATTTCTCAGTAAAGTAAATGTAAATGTATACATTTGCAATGGTGTCAGTACTTTTAAACCTAATTTGTAGGAAGCAATTTTATGTAAAGTCCTACACATAAAGCCATCTCTTACTATGGGTCCTTTAAATTCTTCATTGCAGTTCTTTGGGAAGCCTTGTACCATTCCCATGACAAACACCACACTACCTTGTACAAAACGCATTAATTTGTTGTGAAAATTGCACATAAAATACAAACTATAAAAGAAAGAAAGAGCCTGAGAGTCTCACAGACCAGCAGTAGACTCTTAAAAGGAATTGGATAAGACATTAGAGTAATATAAATCAGAAAGAGGGATTTATGACCCCAATTACAATAAAAGGTTTGATCTAAGTTACTGATTTTACAATAATTTGCAGCTACTCTGCAGATAAAAATATTTATGCAAGAAGCAACATCTGGGCTACGAGGAAAAATTAAAGAAACATACATATTAGCAAGCATCTTTGAGAAGACTGTATTGCTTCTTAGTTACACATTTAAACTATCAGAATTACCGTGTGGAATTGTGGTCTGGAATGGTCTGTTGGGGCTTTTTAGATTCCATAGGGTCAAGCTGCCATCAGAGTGACTACACATGAACTGCTTCCCTTCATGATGCCAAGCAACAGAATGAATAGCCTACAGAAAGGAAAGAAGAACTTGAGACTGGAATGGAATACAGTGTTCACAATAATGATGGTTTCACGTATGACTTCAGATTATATTGTTCTAATGACATATCAACAGTTGGATGGTTCCTGTTTGTCTGAAGTCTATTACCATTACTTGTTAGCCACAGATGGCTGTAATCCACATTTCATCATAAAGGCTAATGTAACACAGAAATGTGAGAAAGCCTGTATTGAATCAGGCCAAAATTGAAGGAAAAGGGTATTAAGGTAAAAGTGTAAGAACAAGGGCCATTAATGCAGTTGTAATATGTCTGATAGCTCTCCTTAGAAGTATTTAATCTGGTAAATTTACAGGTAATTCTGTGTTAAAATCTTTACAGGTAACATACAACACACCTAGTCTTCCCCAGAGGAAGAAAAACACAGTTCTTAGATAAGAATGTACTTTCCACATGTACTCTCACATACTTAAGTTGCAGAGTAAATCCACAGAAATCTGGAATGTTTAATGTCAAAACCAAAATACTAAAAAGTCCAGGGCTGTTTCACCTATATAGAAAATTACCAAAACAACAATGTAAAATAGTTTTGGAATAGATAATGCATCAGAGAAGAGGAATATTACACTCCTTTGTGCATACAAGTACCACATGATGAATGTTACATATACCATTCTTAGTATTTTGTGCATAATTAGTGGAACTGACAGAAAATATCCATTGTTACATCAAACTATAGGAAAGGATAATGGCATAAGTCCTTTAATTTCACTAGTATGTGCTGAAAACTAACAAAAACCATATTCTGACAAAACATTCATTCTATACCACAGTTCCTCACACACTCCTCACAGAAGCACAAACTCACAGAATTCTTCCCAGAATCCAAGTCCCTTCCCTTCACTGCTAAATAGCAAAAAACACAATATAATTTTATGTAACTATAAACAAAAGAGATCTTTGAATTTTTTGAGAGATTTTTGAATGCAGCTTAATAAATTTCCAGGGGTTTTTTTTCAACCTAGGAAATGCTAAGGCCTTGCATGCACTTAAAACTGCATATAGACATTTATCTGATTTATTCAAATGAAAACATCATGGCTGGATATTCATAAGCAGGCATTGCAGCTGTTCATATTAATTTTGTTTAAGTGCTACTGGTCGCTATTTAAAACTCCCTGTTGGTTTTCCTCTTCCAATCATTATATTGATTGTTATGGTTGGTTACAGCTCATGGTCTGGAGAGATTATCAGAAGAAATCAACTGAAGGGCCACGACCCTTTACCAAAGTTTTACTCAGCTCCTGGGGCTGGACAGCAGAGCCACAAATGAGTTTGCATTAAGATGACCCAGGTGTTTTAACAGGAATCCTACATACCTTCTGTATGAATGTTTGATTAACACAGTACTAAAACAGTTGTGCCAAAAAGGACACAAAAAACAGAGCTGAAAAAAATTGAACTCTATATATTTATTTTTGTGGTGACATAATGGGTATTGCCCAAACTTCTGCCTTTCGGAGAGGGAATTGGTACACAATTCCTCTTAAATAACGAGAAGGAACCAAACTATAGCTGAAGAAACAAGAGAAAACACAGAAAGATGGTTCATGCAGAGTCCAGTGTTGTTGCCCTCGGGTAGAATAACCTTAGTTCTGTGGGGAGCACTGCTTCACTTACACTGAAAGCATGTCTATCTTCATGCAAATTAATTCTGACATGAGCTCATTCATGCTTGCTATCCTGCCAAATTTGAATCTGGTTTTGATGTGTTGTCACCCTTAGAAACATTTCACATGGTAACAATCACTAACTGTGTCTGAGCAGGAGCAAATAACTAGCTAAAAAACACACCAAGCTGCTTGTTAAACTGCCTCTCTGTGACCAGGTGCCACCTGCCAGCACCAACCTCCTGTGGAGGGGAGCTGAGGTGGGATGATCCTGGCACAGACAGCTGGCATAGCAGCAACTCAAACTGACCTGTTAGACCTTGCCACAAAATGGGCAAGAAAAACAGAAATGCTTTTGGAAGTATCAGCTGCAAGTCACGAGTAATTCTGAAAGATGGTCCTGAACAAATCCCTAATTTTCTCTCTGCTAGATTATGTCAAGCATTCAGACCCACTTCTTTAGCATCCACACACAAAAGGAGAAGTTATTTGCTTAGAACAGGAGTTCCTCATGGTGTGTGGGTCATGTGAACGTTCACACAGTGTATTGACATAAAAGCATCTCACTCCAGATTAGCTGTGTTTCTCCTTTTGCAATACCCACAGTGGTTGCATACACATTCTATCTTGTCTCACATTCACCATATACTAAATTTAAGCATGCCAAACACCATTTCAGTTCCTTCCAACCACAAATCTTCTCCACAGAGGGTCTTTTAGTACCATTGCTCATGTCATTTTGGACATGAGCAATGCTTGTCTCATCTTAATGTTTGAATGCTAAAAAATTGTGTTCATAGTACTGCAGGACTATTACAGCAAGAGCCACATGCAATTGGATATTTCCATAGTGGCATGGTGCTAGACAAAGGTAGGGAGCTGTCATTTGGCAAATGCCTCTGAGAGCTCTACATCTTTGTTTTGGGGATGTGTTCTAGTGAAAGATGACAACTTCTTCAGACAGCTCTGAATGGGGTTTGACACAAACTTCTAAAGCCTGCATAAGAAGATGGCTGGAGTTTGGGTTTGCCGACTATCAGTAACAACTTGAGAACCTCAATACCAATTGATGGAAATAAACTTTTGCAGGAAATTATAAAAGAGTTTGTAAGGAAAGCATTTTATAGAAGGCATTGTGTAGGAGGCATTGATTGGAAGGGCCTCAATGTCTCATGCATATCACCATTGAGAAGATGAAAATCGTGATGATAGTAAGAAAAGTGAGGGTGAATTAATTTAAATCAGAACTCACACAAAGAGGCACTTTGGTACTTAACCAAGATACAGAACACTTACAGGAATTTATCTGAGACTTCACAGATACCCTGCAACAGGAACTGTTCTGGCCCAGTCCCAGAAAAATACTGAGAGATTGGTCAGACATCGTGGGGCACAGAGGCATTCCATCAGTCCAGATAGCACGGTGAAGGGGAGCAGGAACAATGACTTCTGAACTGTGATCTTTTGTGGCCAACCCATAAGATGAGGCTTAGGCTTGACAATTTGTCTTGCTGCTAAATACCAAGTAGCACATGCCAAACTGGTAATTTTTGACTCACAAAACCTATGTAACCCAGGATTTAAAAAGTAACCCTTTTTAGTGGCTCCCTAAGGGTTGTGGCTTCCCTAAGGAATTCTAGCAGGTCTGGAACATTATGAACATGGAGCCTGAAAGTCGGGAATAAAGTAAAATGGTTAGTCACACAGTCCTTTTAAAAAACAAAATAAGAATATTGCAATTATTTCCGTATATAGGAAGCTAGCACAAGTGGAACAAAGTGGAGTAATGACACAGTAAATAACCACCAAGGAGGAAACCATGGGACTGATTAAAAGGCAAAAAGAAGTTCCTGAGAACAGTATTGAAAAATGTGGTACAACTAAATTCTAAATTGTATGAGTAATTTTCAACATCCACCCACTCTGTCTCAAAACGAAGAAAAAAAGAAAAGGGGAATCAGATCAGCATTAAGAAGATCCTGCTTCATGTAGTTTCATTCTGAGTACAAGAGAGGACAGTGAATGAACAGGCATCCCCACCTCCACCCTTCCTGAGGAGACCTGTAAAAGGAAGAAGTTGTTCAGCCTTAATTAACAGAAGGGGTGCAATTTCACAAGTGTTTGCACAAGCAGACTGTCACTGAGAGACAATTCAGTGGGTAAGTCTTGAGGCTTAAGTGCTGGCCTGATCAAACTTGTCCTTTGAAACATTTGCTATGTTGATGCTCAGAAACTTAACTTGAAGCTCAGAGTAGCTTTAATGTGTCTCTGACAGCAGGTCTGAAAGAGTGAAGGATCCACATGTATTCAGATTGCTTTTTAGAGGGGAAATAAATGTGTATACACTCATACATAGCAAAGTGACAAGATGAAGAAGGAAAGAGAACTACAGGAAACCAATTACTGCTAGGATCACTTTAAAGAAAATGTCCTTTTCTATCTTCAGCTGTAGTTGCATTCATGTTCATCTGTGGTGAACTTTAGAGGATTGGCAGAACAAAGAATATTTTTTTCCTAGGGATAGTGCTAAAACCATAATAACTAGGAGTATATCTATTTCTCAAGCAGCTTGATTATTGATACAAGAACTGTATGGTTAACAATGGCTGCTTACAAATGACAAGAGACAACTGTGTGATAACTATGACAATATAATTTTGAAAACTGTTTAATCAGATCTTAAGTACTAGGCAATATCAACAGCTGTACAAGGCAATTTGTCTTCCAATATAATGAATGTTCTAGATATACCCAGTAGAGATTATAATGTAATTGCTATTGTAGCTATATATCAGGTCAGCTCATTGCTAGACTCTGTTCAACTGAGCATCCCCACAGAGAAGTTGATGAACTTGTCAGGATCAAGGGAAGGACATTCTGTGTCACAGTACACTCATGAGAGCCTAAAGGATCAGAACTAGAGATTTCAGACTTTGATTTCTATTGTAAGTAATTTGCCCAAAAGCATAGCACAGACAGTACTTCCAGAACCAACAGTGCTTTTAGATAAAAATCCACCTGCTTGGTAAGACATATGGCAAACTGCTGAATAATGGCTTTGCTGAGTTAATGGAAATTGCTTACCTCATCATAATAAGCTCTCAGATCAGCTCTTTTAGATCGCAGGTCCCAGAACACGATGGTCCCATTTTCATAGCCTATCAACAGCTGGAGCAGGGACAAAAAACACAGTTACATTTTCTGATTGAAAAGGTACATATAAGTATTGAGTAATATAAAAAGAAAAAACAAAGTGATGTGCAAGATTGTAATTTGCACATTACACATTATACAAGGTATTACACATAATACCTTCTTTCAAATTATCTTTCAGTATAAATTACTTCACATTGCTGGCAAATTTAAGATCTGACATGGGAAAAAAAAGGCTTTATACACCTTTTTTCCACCTGGATGATTATGCAACTGTACAGTCTTCTTAATTGCATATCTGCTGAAAACCAAAGATTGTAGCATGTTCCTACCAGCTCTTACATTCCCTGCACCTTGCTGGAGAAAAAACTGTTTGACACCTAAAATACCACCTAAATAACTTCAAACCAAGAGAGTCACCAGATTAAACTTTGATTCAGTTACTTATATTCCTTTTATTTATATTTGCTATTGCATTAGAACATTCTGAAGAACTCCTCCAGCAGAGAATAAATTGCTTGCTTTCCTAGTAATTAAAAATAAATTAACTGATGTCAATTTTTACTTCTTATAGAACTGGGACTTCATATCATCATGCACACAAGAGAAATATTAGCAAAGAGTTCTGAAAAGATGAAAGAGAAGAAAAACAATAGTCAGGAGAAAAATAAGAATGAACAAAAATAATTTCTTCTTGTCTGCACTCAAAAGAAGTGAAATATTGATTTGGTACTGTAGAGTTACTCTTCATTTGAACACATTTCAAATCTTATGGACAATATGATGTCTAGCTTATTTAGGTGTCCTGGAAACTGTTTCCCACAGAATCTGTCTTCTTAAGAATCTGTTCTGGACATGAAGACAGAAAATGGCTAAACTGGCAGACTGACATTTCTGTGATAGAATATTTCATACAACTGGCAATGATAATTGCAGTTATTCATCATCTGTAAACAGACATATCACAGAATGCAGGCAAGGATTTACAGTATCTATATAAAGAATTTGTGAAGAATAATGACAAGATAATCTCTTAGTTGGAGAAACTTTAACACCATCTTTGCTATCACTCACTTTAGTAGCTTGCATGAGTCCTAAAAATGAAATTTGTCTGGGCTGCTAAACAAAACATCACTTTCTTTCCAAGTTAAATATAACTGATACATCAATACTGCTACAAAAGAGCCTGGGAATACTCTCAGATCTACTGAATTTGGTTCTTTTTCTTGACAGGAGAATATTCCTTTTGTGGAATCTTCTAGCTAATCTGGAAACAATTTATAGTTAATATATTTAATACCTGAATATAAACAATAACTACTTATGCTCCTGAAGAATCATTCTCCTGAAAAAAATTCAAACTGTCTGGAAAAATTCCAAAATATTTAGCCTTTTTTCTCTGGATGGCTCCACACGGGATTTTTGTGTCAGAGTCAGGAAGCATGCAGCTAACTGGATAGCTCCTGTGTCAGGATGCCATATGGTATTCTGGGATAATAGGCTGCCATTGAGAGAATGAACAAAGGAGGGTATTACTGCAGCTGTTTGCACTGTTGGTATAGCAATCCCAAATGGAAGCTATTTGTATATCCAGGAGTTAGTGATGCTCACAGCAGTACACTTGAGTAGGTGCAGGTCTGTGCTGTGTTGTGCTGCACACAGCACTTGGCTTCCAGGCCTACATTGTGCTGCACATATTTCTTGGCCACAGGGTAAACTTAGCTGCTCATTATAAAGGACCTTGTAGGCCTCTCCCACTTGATAAAGGTAAGGACAGCACCCTTGTGCCTTTATCTTAATGTATGTCTCATGTCAACACCCTTTTGTTTGACAGTAAGAATGGATATGGCACTTAAAAAAAAAAAACAAAAAAACAACAAACTTTTGGGCTCTCCAAAGACCAAAATGCTGGCAAGAGCCTCTTCACAGAGGATGGTGCCATGCCCTTATTGGAGGTTCATCCAATCCTACACAGCTTGGGGTTCCCACCCTCCTTTTTGTATTCACTCCGACAAATAGTATTTTAGTAATTTATGGAGTCTGAGTGCCCATCTTACTGTCATCACAACAAGCACTTGCACATGTGCATTACAGCTGGGTACCAAAACAGTCACGTTCAGTTTGTATCTACCAATATTCTTTTCACCTCAGCTTTTGTACAAATATATTCAGAAAAGTGAAGGAATTTAAAAGCTTGTAGTATGTGGCCCTGTTTCTTAATAAGCCTTTCTTCCCTGGGGAAGCAGGCTTCTCTTTTGATTTTTACCCCTCTCTTTTGCAAAGATATCATGCTCCAGGTAATTACTAAAAGGTTAAATACCTTTTATTAGAGGCTGCATTTCGCCTGAACTATTGCTGAAATGTTTAATGCACAACTGCACTAAAGAATTGCAAGTTATAAAGTGTGATTTCAGGGAAGAAATTGAAAGGCAAAGAGTTTTGCTGCATAGCCAGGAATCTCTCTTTTTGTTCAGACAGTAGTCATGCTGCTTTAGTACTAACACTGGGGTACAGCACTGAAGTCACAATTCCAGCTTGGCTGAATGGGATTAGTCTCATTGCCAGGAAATTTGGGATGCTCTGGATTCTGACCTGTCTGAACCATAGGAAACTGAAACATTCCCACTCCTCTCAGTCATAATGACCACTTGGGAGATCTATAAGACAAGCTCTATTTCTGTAATAAAAGTAAAAAGCAAAATATCCATAAATGCAGTTGGAGAGGAAAACCCAGAAAAAGTAAAGCAGTATCCATAAAAAGAGTCAAGGATGGAAAAAACTCCAAAGATTTATCTTGCCTTTTGTGGCGCCTCGTTTAATTACTCACACTTAATCAGGCTACAAAAAAAGCAGAACATTGGACAGTATTTGGAGGGAGAAGTCCTGACAAGATCCTCCTTGTTTAGTGGAGTTGTTTTACATTTTGACTTAAATCATTCTTCATCATATGCTTTTGATGATGGGAGGAAATTTCTTTCTTACAGTCAACTAATTACATTCTGGTACATGACAGTAAGCTTCTCACTTGTCCTGGTAACACAAAACAGCTGGAGAAAAAATCCCAAACAAACAAGCCTGCCAAACAGGCTTGTTGTTTTAGGTATTATTAGATCTCAGAACTCAGACTCAGAGATAGGAAGTTTAGCCCACCAGCTAATTGTAAATAACATTAAACCTTTTCCTATTAAGCCTTCTCTGTTTGCTGGGAAACTGCAGATCATTGCAGTTAATGTCTTTTCCTTTGTCAGCAAGAAAAATCATGTTTGCAACAGATCTGCCACTTATAAATGTCTGTGCACTCCAGTCTGTCCCTAATGTACACTTATTAATTGATTTGGCAGACACAGTTATATTTCATGAACTTAATCACTTGGTCCCCGAATTGTTCTTCAGTGACACATTAAATGCCTAAATTCTCTTTGATGTTTGTCTTCCAGCCATAGCTTTTTAGATTCATAAAAGAGACTTGTCTCCAAAGCCTGCCTGGGTAGTTTGCCTGGAGGCCACTCTGGAAAAGTTCTGAATGGCAGAAGTTGTCTTGAGTTGCATTCACTCTTTTGGCACAAGGATCCCCATCACCAGTCCATGAAATAAACTGGAACTTTTAGGAATTCAAAGGATCTTAATGAAAAAGGTGAAGATACTGCCAGTGCATAAACTTCCCTGGCTTTAAAACAGAGCTCTTATGATTATCCTAGATTTTGAAAGGCCCGACTATGTTTTAGGACTCTAAAACATTCAGTGTTCATAGGAGAAATGCTTACTTACTTCAGCAAAACAGTCCCAGGTATGTAAACAATCCCAGAGAAGGCTATACCACTGGACTCTTGACAAAGTACTTGTAGAGTAGTACTCTTGTAGAGTAAAGGAACATCTGGATTTTGAGTAATGATTATGACTGGTTTGTACCTACTATTTAATTTCTGAAATATATGCAAACACTTCTATCTGCTGCCTATCATGATGTGATGTGTGGAGTCTGACTTCTGCCATCAATACTTTTTGTTTGTCTTTGGTTAGCTTTGAGCTGTGGAGATTAGCAAAGTATGTGTAACTATCATCAAACAGCTTTTTTATCTAAGAATAACTCTGCTAAATTAAATAAAAGTCTACCTATGACAGTATCTTGTACTGTAATGGCCAAGAGCAAATACCAAATAATATGGGAAGAAGACAAATATTGGTAACACTCTCACATATTCTCTCTGTCCAAGTTATTTTCTCATTCAAGTATAACCACTTCCTCAACTAAACATGACTCTGTTTAACCTCATCTTTAAGAACCTTTTATGAGAATTCAGCAAATCTCATCAGTTACCCTCACATGGATTTCTTTTGTGTTAACTTTTCTAGTCTTTCTTGTGATCAGTACATTTTCAGCACACACAACAGCATTTGGAAAAAGTTTCCTAGATTCTACCCATTGCACATTTGAAGAAGTACTTAATTGGCTTCTTTGGAATCTGACCAGACAGTTTTATTTGGTATCCTTTTAGTTTTTGTATTGAAAGACACTGAGCTGTTTCCATCCTCTTAATATCAACTGTGATTTTCAAACTTTGAATCACAGTCAAGTCTTTTTCATAGTGAATTTTCCTGTCTCACTGAGTTGCCTCTCATATAGAAAACCCAGTCCCTTCTCTGAATTTCTTTTAGCATTATGTTCATTTTAGACACAGAGGGACAAGTATTATACTCAGTAATCAGCAGGCAGGTCAACAACGCATTTCTTTAATAGCTTTGTTTTGTTCTCTATTCTTCTCTGCATAATGCCTAATTTTGATTTTCTTTATTGTTCACTACTGAGCATTGAGCTGAGTGACATTTCCACTGAACTATTAATCATCACTCAAAGCTCTTGAAACCAAACAGGAATCATCAGCTCACACCCATTGTTTTATATGTAAAGTCAGAAATATTTTGCCCTACATGTATCACTTGTCATCATTCACACTGAATATACTTTAAAAGACAGTATTGAACCTGCCATTTTACTGCTGAGTTTCTCAGCCTCCTAAAGTCCAGCAAACCAGGTGACATCATTGTTTACTCTATTTTCTAGGCTATATACGACCATGTTGAACAGTAAAAGTCTGAGGAGCCGCTTTTTTCTCCATTTTTTCCTCTCTCTGAATAATGATTGATTTATTCTGCATTCTTTAACTAAAGTTTAATGAGACTAAGTTGAAAAGTGTAGTTTAATTTATTTGTCCACAGTTGATTTTTTAAAATTTAGAAATGTCTATTGATTTAATGCTTGGATCTTCTCTTGGATCTGTGTACCTTTTATTGATATCTTCCTGTAAACATCATCAATTCTACATTCTACAAAACTGTAAGTATTTTGTTAGTACCAATTTATTCTTTACACCACTCTCAAACTAGCAATGATATAAAAAGATGCATTGAGATGGTTTTAATATACCTCAAATTTTCTACTACTTTGCCTCATAAATTTTCAGTGTTTGTTTTTCATAGGCATTTGTCTGAGTTTGCTGTTTTTCTTTGAATGCTAGTACTTCATCAGTGCCCAGATGTCTCCTATGTGCCCTCTCAGCAACAAGCACTTGTATTCCCAAGCCAGTTCTCTTTTAACTCTCTTGCCTGGGCCCTTTTCATCGCCCTTTCTGCTGAAAAATATTTTTAGGTTTCTGTTTATACACAGTGCATGGCATTCCTATAAAAAGCCTTCACTGACAAGACCTTTTTCTTTTTTTTAATACCCTTTTTTCCTACACTATGTGCTTTAAGTAGCTCAGCAGCAGCTCCACTTGTGGCCAGCAAACAAGAATGATGCCTCATCAATAAACCTTTATTCTCACCAGTATTTTGCCAGAGATAATTAAACCGCATTTCTTGATGGCTTCTTGTTTGAGGCTGCAACACTACACTTCAATATGTTTAATTACTTTATTTGATAGTATTCTAAATTGCTTGACCTATTGTGATTCTTCCAGAAAGGCTTAGAGATGCCATCAAATCTGTGGCAGGGTTGGTTCACAAGTGCACTGTTTGTGCGTAGCTCACCTCGCAATATGGGTAAGTCCAAGGACAAGTGATGCAAATGAAAATCAGATGTAGCCATCAGAGCTTTTCTAGGTACCCATAATTTCAGCATAATATCCCCCATATCAGTATCAGAGATTTAAAGTGCTGCTAGTTTCTAACAACTATTTGCTGTTATGTGAGGCATGCTGTCAAACAGATACACCACTTAGAAGATGAAGTACTTTATAAATACATACTGAAATGCAATTACTAAAAATGATAAAAACCAATGAGAGAGATAAATACCCTTTCCATACAGGCAAAATGCTCAAATATAAGTAGCAATACATTAAAAAAAAAAAAAAAAAAGCTGCAATAGAACCAGAATTCTGTCAGCCATACTTTATCTTTGAAAAGCTGCCATACAAATAAAGCCAACTCTGATTCTGCCTCCTGGTGGTATCAGTAACAACCCTAATGCTCTAACTATATGTGTGGTTTCCACTTGTGGATAGTGAACAGAGTTGAGAATTGCAAACAGCAGCAAGTTCCAAACCTGGGTTATTATCATGATAATCCTTATATAAGAAAAGATTTCCTATCTTATAAAAATTTACTATAATGCCTTCATAAGCGTGTATTATCCAAGTACTGAAGTCATGATACAGTTTTTAGTCAAACCTTACTTATACGAAGTCAAGGTTTCGTAAACAGGAACAATTTAGATGGCTATACATTTCAAAGTACAGTATGTTGTCTGCATCACAAATGTTTACTCATTAAATTTGTACAAAGATAATTTTTTCCTTAAGAACAGTAAAATAAAGTGACTTGCAAACTTTGAAAGAAAGCAGATAATAAAATCAGTGAGTGAGCAAAAGGAAAGAGTAGCAAGGCAAGTAAAGGCTATGAAATGCTGCAAAATTTTATACCATTGGTTGTACTCACTTTTCCTTCATCTCTTGGGCTGTCACTTAAATGTACAACTGGGCCAGGGTGAGTCTTGGTGGATCTGCAAGACAAAAAGCAATTAAAATCTGTGACTCTTTTTTGTTGTAAGAAGAGCTTTTAAGGTGGTAACGTACCTCCAACGTTTTAAAAATAACTGTAAAAAGCCTAACAGGGTAAGGTAAAGTTATAGGTATCTTTTAACATTCTCCTCTATTTCCTTTTTGCCATTAAAGGCAAAGATACTCTATTCTTAATGAATCCTTCCTTCATTTCTTTTTTTAATCTCACTATTCTTCCTATTAATTTCCCCTCTCTCATTCTTATAGCTTTTTTGCCTTTTTTATTCTCTACTCCATCTCCTTCTGACTCTCTCTCCTTACTTGTTCCATTTGAAGGCCAATTTGCCAAGGATCTACAAAGTGTTCATGGATTAATTTCAGATACTGATAGCATGACTCACCAAGTTCCAATGTCACTAAAGAAAGGGTTTCAGTAACCTCACCTACACTGCCCTGTCAGGGAGTGTTTTAGCATTACTGCAGCAGGGTTTCAGAAATGGAGCAACTTGCCTCTGTATGATCTGGAAAGCCTTATCTCATCTTCAGACCAACTTACACAGTTACACCCACAATGCGTGTTCAGTAGGGCTCCTTAGCCACAACACCCATCCTATGAGTCTTTGTAAACCTAAATAGAAATTAATTACTATCCTTGACATCGCCTCCCTTTTTGCAACATGTATCAACTGCATCATATGCAACTTAGTATTGAGTTTTTAATGTCCAGCACCTGACAGAAAATGCAAATCATAGGAAACTGATTTGACAGATGGAGATTTTTCATCTATCATCTTTTTTGACCTGACCTTCAGGCCCTGGCAGTCATAAAGAGCAAGAAGACAAGCACCAGTCAACACTGAATGCCTGCACAGAGGAGGACCTTTCTCCCATCTAGGCTCTGAGGTAAGAGTACATGTCCCTTGGAGTTCAGCTTAAGATCTGAACTTGTATGACTGGTCTTGGTTCACCAAAGGTCATCAGGAAAAAAAAAAAAGCCATAAACTGGCAGAGTCCATAAAGTGAAGAATTTCTCTGGAAACCATATGTAAATTGACCTAGGCTCCAAGTTTTAAAACAATCTGCAAGAGAACTACAGAAACAAACCAAAACAAGTTTCTCCAGCCAAACTACTCAAAGCATTTTTCTAAAATAATGGCCTCTTCCTTCGACTGACTACTGCACTGTAGCAAAACTGGTCTCTGTTCCACAGGTCAGACTCCAAATCAAGACTGAGAGTGGTCACAGAAATTCTCAGACAACTCAAACATTAAAACACTGTGGACTGATCCATGGCTTCATAGGCTCCTCCTTCCCAGAACAGTATGCTCCAACACTCTTAAAAGCATGCATACTCTTCTCTGGCCTCTAAACTTTGCCCACATTATGTTTTAAATATTTTAACTATTTTGTCATGCACCAAAGCTGGGTCAAAGCAGAGAGGCAAATATCTAGTCTGATACTTATTTCTGAGCTGAGGACAATGAAAAATTACTCCAGACATCCTGAACATGCAGCATATTATTCTCCTACATGAGGTCTTGACCAGCAAGGATTCTTCAAGAGCATTTTGCAGCATATCCCATCACAGAAATGAGATTAGCAGGAAAGTAGAGGACAGTAAGTTTGTACAGTGACATTTTATACAGACTGTCTTTCATGGTGCCAGCAGCAAGCACCTGTTTGTCCTGAGACCTGGGACAAAACCATTTCTACAGAGACACAGATAGCAGGCCTGGCTCTCATTGCTATACAAGCCAACTCACTAGAGGGGACCCTCTGGGCTGAGATGTTTCTGAGTAACCTGTATTGAAATAAAAATATCATTTGCACAACACCAGACCTTGGAGCAGGCAGGGTAGGTAGGCAGTGACAGGGAACTGGGGGGGCAAGATGAGGTTGCTTGTAAGCAGTGCTCAGACCTACACACATCTTGTACATCTGTCCTGAGGAAGTGCATGTGACAATTTGGGACATTCTTGGCTGTTTCAAGTGTTGTTTCTGACATAGATTCACCTGTCTGGACTGATCAGAATATTTTCATAGAAAGAACTAGGTCTGTTCAGAGTATAAGCTGCCTATGCAGTGATGGGCAAAGGAGGACGGAAAACAAGAGGAAAAAAACAAGAAGAGAAGACACAGAATAAAAATTTTCACTTTTTAGCCAGATAAGAACCACAGACAGATGACATAAGAGAGAGCAGAGGCAAGCAAACATCAGATATGTTTTCCCAGAAAGCTGGGGACAAACAAAATAGTAGCAGAAGCACATGGAGGCTGACAAACCAGGATGCACAGTCAGATGCTTGCCCATTCCAGTCTTGGTACATGACCAGGAATATTGGCAAAATCATGACAAATGGAGGGAGAAAGGAAGAAAGCATACTGTCTTTCTAAGGTAAAGATTGATTCCATTTAGTCAGCTCTTTGTATGTACTAATTTTAAAAGTCAGGAACAGTTTAGATAAATCTGTGCAATCAGTTTCTTTGAAGGATACATATGCCATTGCTTACCAAAGAATGTATCAATTTCTCTTTGGGTAGAAGCAAGTTCTTACATGAGCTGTCCTCTACTCTTTAGGCTAAGTATACTTTCATAGTCACACAAGCTCATTGTTCCTCTGTAAATGGTATAAAACCCCTGTCTTTTACTACCAGTCTTATTTTTATCTTATATTCCAGCAGGGTGTAGCTTCAAATTTCCATGCTAAAACCTCAGCTGAAAGGGGAACCCTTCACTAATACAATACATTTTCCAATCTCCTCGATTTCCCTCTTGAATTCATTGTATTTGGGGGATCCTGGGATTTATTGCACTGTATTAATATTGTAGGGTTTGGGTATTTTTTTTTTCTTAGGCACTTTTTGTTTCTTTTACGAATATTGTAATTTAATTATTATGCATCTAGTTACTTCTTTAGTTTTGTTAAATAACAGCTTTATATACACTATCATTAAAGTTGATATCAAACACAGCAGTCTGTACACTAAATGTATGAGATTTTATTTTCCCCCATTGTTTTTCCTCTATATTTGACATACGTGTATTCTTAGCATTCATATTACCTTACTTCTTGTTATTTTAATAATTTATTTGTTTTGTATAACACCTGCCTTGCTCTGGCTTCTTCCTTTTTCTTTCACTTCTATTACATTTAAGACTGTCAGGTATGCCACTCCATCAAAAGACTCAACAAACCATTCTTTAGTTTTCACACATACATCATTGGTCTAGGAAAAATAAGGATTCAAGGGGAAGGAGCTTTAGTTTTTGTCTTTGTTTCTCACCATTCTACTCTATTTTAACTGGCAATAAATTAAATTAATTTTTTCCAAGTCAAGTCTGGTTTCCCCACTGACAGTAGCTGGTAAGTGATTTTCCCTTTATTCATGAACTTTTCAATCTTATTTTCTTTCCCTGTCCTGTTATGGATGCGGAGTGAGAGAGCAGCTGGGTGGAGGTTTCTCAGCCAGCCAGGATCCAAACTCCACAATTTCCTTGATCGCTTAAGAGCGGACAGCTTTGTTTATACATAGGTAAGAGTAAGTAGAGAGTCTATTAAGTTTGGCAGTCAAAACATGGCTTCTGTGAGGAAAGCAGAAAGGATCCTTTTCAAATAGTTATATATATTTAATGTGCCATCACAGACAAGATCCCACACAGGTGACAACAGATGTTCCTGAAGCTTTTTGGAAGTGTAGAGCCTATACCTGGCAGTCCCAGAAACGTTGATTTTTTTATACACAGCAAGTAAAGTATTTGCGTCAAAACTGATTCCTCTTTGGACTACATAAGGAGGAATATTCACAAGATACAGCAAGCATAAAATCTGGTGTTCAGTTTTGGATGAACATGCACAGTCCCTTCTTGGGGGAGATGTTTGTGGGAGGATGAAGTGACACAAAATAATCCCAGTTCAGGTGGAGCAAGGAAGAAAGCATTGCTGTGTGTGAAAGCATTGCAACTTCCTCAATTCTGCAAGAGCTTTTGCTTATTGCTCTGAGCTTGCCCGATGGCTGGATACAGAAGGAGTGACACAATAAATCTTCTCTGGTTTGTTTCTCTGAAGTGATGTTATCTCCCTTTGGGCACAGGGCTGTGGCAAGGAACACAAACCTTGTCCTTTGTGCCACACTAAGACCAGGAACTGTCTGCCAAAGGCTGATCAGTGCCTCACTTCTTGCATCTCCTTGTCTCCTCAAGGAAGGTATGTATAAATAGAAATAACAATATCTTTTGGAGCCCTAGGGAAATGTTGCTTGTAAAAGAAGAGCAAGGCTGTACAGCCAATTTCTCTTGAGGGTAGACATCATGACTGCACTACACGCAAGATTAAACAAAGCAATTATTTAGTTAACTATATTATATCATTAACATTATTTTATAGAACCCATGAAACACAATCAGAGCTACAGACACAGTAATTACTGCTTTCATACAGTAAATTATACTGCATGGGGAAATGTCTACACACAAACTCCATTTTGCCTCCAGTTGTTTTTGTATACATAAAATGTTCTGTTTCCCCTCATTGCTATTACAGTAAAGTTGTCAAGAAGGTTGGAGAGTCAGGCACTCTCATTGTGGAATTGCCTACGAAGAAAAAAACCCTGCCATTGACTTATATTAAATGCAAAAGCAGAGATCCAACAGATCCTGGAAAGAAGAAAGAGGTGCTGGAAAACCAACCAGATTTGAAGCCATTGTGAATAAAGCACTCTACTGTTGATGACAGATACTTGTGTATAGGCATTCCTCCAAGATGGCTTTGGGGAGCTGCATAAAAACTAACTAGATCCTATTCCCTGATAAAGGGAAAAATAAAGAAGAATCAGCAGGTGAAAATAAGGTGTAACTGAAATAGTTGAGCAGGGAATTTTTCATTTCCAAATAGCAGTCAGAGTACATGAGAATGACTGAGAAAATAAAAGCTCTGAAAAGACACAAAAAAGATAAAACACAAATCCAAGTCAATACTCAGCAGAAAGAAAAAAAGAAAAAAAG